TCATACATCTCTTTATTGTTAGAGGTAATGTATTATTAATATTATCATTTTATTTTTTTATTATTTTATTATTACCATTATAATTGCATGTACTCTAGACTCAGTGGATTGTTGTCATGGGTACTAAGGGAACATGCAAGACCTCTATAGCGGACGGCCTGTTAAGTTATCTTGAGTTATTCATTGAGGGGGAGGAGGGGGAGGAGGAAGGGGCAGAGCTACTCATAGATGATTACGATGATAATAAGATAATTAAGAAGTTTAGTATATCATCTTCGCCTGGGATATTGGGTGGAGGTCTTGATGTAAGTACAGACCAGGTGTATTGGGTTATTAATAGCTTATGTCCCTCCTCTTTCTGTAGTCTGCTTTGAAATACATCAGAGAAGAATTACCAATGAAACTACAAAGGTATTATTATTATTATTTATTACTGTTATTACTTTAAATGTTAACAACAGATCAAAAGACATCATTATGTTAACACTTTTATTATTATTATTATTATTATTTATTTTTTTTACTTGCATATAAAGGTCTTTTGATGAACACAGTCATTTCATTTATCATTTCTATCACTGTTAGGTGTAAAACCCCAGTTCTTTTATTTGACAACATCTACGACTGTCAGTCGTTGGAGCAAGTCCTGAGTGCTGCTGGAACATTATCTAAAAGACCATACATAGTAGCCACCCTTTGCTCAGGGAGTACAAGAGGGATACCGCTCCACCAGCTAATGCTTAGACACAACATAAGAGTAGTTACCTGTAACACTCACACTGAGCCGATCGTAGGAATACTCTCTAGGACGCTGAGGAAGAAAGTATATCAATTGAAAGCAGATCCTAAGTGAGTCCTCATTCTTGTTATTGTTGTTCTTATGCTAGTAATTTGTGCTTTTTTGTAGTTCGGAGGTGGAGCCTGTTGCTGAGCAACTCTTGCTGTGGTTGCCGTACCTTCTTGATCACATCAATTTTTTCATTAGCAAGTTTCATTCAAACAATGTCGCGTTAGGTAAGAGAAATAACCACACTGAGCACTGATGGATTTTACTCTCTCTCCTCCTCCTCTTCTCTCTCTCTCTTAGGTCCTCGTGTATTCCTTAATTGTCCATTGGATGCATCATCTGATTACATGGAGATGTGGTTCATTAACTTGTGGAATCATTTCATCATTCCTTATCTCATGGGTACCATAATGGCTGGGATAGAGGTGAGGGCTAGAGGAATAGAGAGAACTACATGTAGGGCTGGGACAAAGGTCACTTTGTAACCTTTAAAGCTTCTATGCATACAACGTATGCATCAGAAAAAGTTATAAAAATGAAGAATTGTCTCCTGGTCATTTTTGGTAAAATTTGGCCCCGCCTGATTTTAGAACAACTTTAAAATTTCCATGCAGGTCACGAACATGTATTAGAGAACATAGTCTGTTTGCTTATTTTATTCAATATTGATTTATTTATTGCGATTATCTTGTCATTACTAGACATACAGTGCTGATCCCACTCTTGATTGGATCGATGTCCGGCAGTGGGTAATCGAAACGTACCCTTGGGCATCAACAATCAACGTATCTAAACTAAAGACACTAACTCCTGATGATGTGGGATGGAATCACGGTATGAAATATATATATAGCATAAAATATTAGCAGTTTGAGAAAACAACCATTTGTCTTATTTTCTGCATGCTTGCCTGCTTGGTTGCAAAATTACCAGTATGGCATCCTGTTATAGCATCATTTTTGGAAGAAATTTCCAGTGAAAACTCCTACCAGCATTTTATTTTGTTTAGTATTTATTATCTGTTGATATTATTTTTTTATTTTTAGCTGTAAGGCCACAGAATCAGAGCAGATATATGTCATATATGAGAGTGAGTCATTTATTTAATTATTAATAATTATTTATTTATATACATATATATATATTATTTACTTTCTCTCAGGATGATGATGTGCAGTCTGTCTTAAGAATGCAAAACTGATAAACTGTTATTATTATTATTATTATTATTGTTATTACCAATATTGCTATTTCTGTTTGTATCATATTATTATTACTATTATTATTTTATAGTTGTACTTCCTTCATTTTCTCTCTTTCCTTCTCATTGGACATTTATTTTTGCAGCTTACCAATAATTATTATTATTAATTAAATATTACTATTATTATTATTAGATTTTGTCTTTTGTTCATTTTTGGTTTCTGTGAGATGTCGTTACAACCAAAAATTTTTTCACAATCAAAAAAAATTATGTTCTTTGATGTAATAACCTGGATGTGAATTTTTGACTGTGAAAAGCAGATAAAAAACCTTTGCAACTTCCTGTTCTTGTTCACACCTCAAGGTGCGAACAAGGTGTCAAAGTAAAGTTGTGAAGATTCTATTTATTAAACTTTTATTTACACTCATTAATAACTTTTGATAAGAACATGCCACGAACATGGGACAAATTTTGTTAGACTCTTCTGTACTGTAAGTGGAATTGGCCATATGGGGTTTGTTATATTCGGGGCAGGTATGGGGACAATGGAGAATATCCAAGCCAGTTTGATCTATATGGCGATATATGTGGCAATGTCGGTATGTGTGTTTAGTATGATATTGACCATAAATGAGCGGAGGGGATTGGTGGCAGACTTCCATTCTTTGTCTAGAAAAAAATGCCATTGTATGTTGCTCGCATGCAATACTAGTTGATTTCACATGAGCTCTGCTCCCCTTGCTTTTTAGCTAATGAAATTTTGCTTGTCTGTGTATTTGTAATTTATTAATACATAAAACAATGCAGCAGTGATGCACATGCAGAAGCAAGCATTGCCTGGATGCATAGCCTAAGGCCTAAGGAGATCTCAAACCATATCAATAAAATTTTAGAATTTAGTTTTGGTTATTCCCCAGACAGACTTAGTGTAATGTTTATACTATAATGATGACAGTTAATTAATATTAGCATTCTACATCACTGAACTTTGTCATGCACTTCCTTTATAGTAAAGCCTGGGAGTGTGGTTATATAAGTGTCTGATATTATCACTTGATACAATTTGATCAAGAGCAGTTAGTGACAGACAGACAACTACTACTAACTACTACTGAGAAATGGCTGCTGCAGGAACAGAGAGCAATGGAGGAGAGGGAGAAGCAGTAATAATTATGTCAGGAGCTTTAACAAAGCAAGGTAATAATGTAATGGAATGCACTTATTGGTTGATACTATCAATTAATAGGAGGCAACGTTAGGAATTGGAAGGAAAGACATTTTGTACTAAAAGGGACTGAGCTTAACTATTACAAAAAAGAAGGCGACACAAAGCCAAAGGGGGTGATTGATCTGAAGACTGGACGAGGGATAAGAACAATGAAGTATATATCAGAAGGAATTGAGTGGCCTGAAGATGTGCAGGCAAATTATGCATTTGCAATTGCAACTAGTGCCAGGACTTATTATGTCTATGGAAAGAGCTCAAAAGAAATACAGTGAGTGCCTAGTATGCATCTATAGTCTTTGTAACAGCAATGAACAGTGCTGCATTAGATGAAAGATAAAGAGTACTTAGTGCTTGCCAACAATAAGCAAAGCTGCATTAGACAACTCATATAACTCAGTGCAATAGTAATAGCAGAATGGTATCATTATAAAACTAAGGAAATAGCACATAACTAAGTGATTAGCTTAATTGAGTACCAAATAAACTAAAACTAACATCATAATGACAATGATAGCAAACTTCATTTATTTTTCACTATATCGCATATACATCACTGACACTATCATGCTGGAATATCAATAACAATAGCTGCAAACAGAATCAGCAACTTGAATATTAATAAACTTTCAATTAAGCGGCGTGCATGCATGCACCCCATGATGGTATGCACTCTATAAACTGGTAATAGTAGCACTTACAGTTAAGGAAATGTTTGCATAAAGGGGCTAATAAACCATTCATGCCTTGTTTTTTCTCCATCATATTTTAGGAAATGGAAGAAAACCATAAAAGACATCATAGATGAAGTGAGTAATGACCAGCTAGCCATGGCAGACAAAATATTATGCAAATATTATGATACGTAAATTAAATTATGATACAAAAATTACTAATAGTACCGTCTATGTTTCTCCATCCCTCCAGCATGGCAGCCCTACTGATGACTGGAAGAATGATGTGGAGGGAAAACCTGAGCACATAGCTTCAAAAGTAGTCAAGAAAGTTGCAAAGATCGGAGCACAAGTGACCAAGAAAGTTGCATCAGAGTACATACAAGATGACAACATCGCATCAATTGTTGAAGGGGTTGCCGATGGAGTTGAAAACCAAGCGGATGCAGATCGTAATGCAACTATAGGAGACAGGCTCAAAAGAGGAGGTACAGCTAAGCATTTTGCATCATAATCTATTTTTTGCATGGATGCATACTCTAGCTGGAGATGCAGTAGGAGTTGCAGGTTCAGGCATACAATTGGCTAGTGAGTATGTACCGGATGAAATAGGACAGAGTAAGTGTATTTCATTCTAGCATTGTTAACTTGTTATACATAGCTGCTGTATATACTGCCGGTGGTATTATCAAAGACCAAGGTACTGCTGATACTGATGCTAGCATTGCAGAAAGATTAGCCATTGGAGTTGGTAAGGGTTTGTTACAAAAATATTAACAAATTATCATAATGTCCTTAAAAGGAGTCTCCTTGACCTTATTTCTGCTATAAAAGCTTGAAATAGTTATCAGTTATCATTGCCAATAACTGAAAGTCCATCCTCCTCTTGTAGGTAGTACAGCAGATTGTATAGGGGAATGCCATGAGGAAGCTTCTATAGTGACTGATCTTGTTAGCAAAGGAGCTGAGAAAGTGACTGAAGTCCTCGAGGAGGACAGAGCAGAAAAAGAAGAGGAAGAAAAGAAAAAGAAGCTTGAGCAAGACAGCGATGCTGAGAGTGATGACGAAAATGTTGACACGTCAGGAATATAAAAAACTTGTCAAAAATTTAATAATAACTATCGTTTTTTATTAATTATTATTTCTCACAACAAACACCATTAAGGGAAAATACATGTTACTGTGCCCATGCATAATTAATAATAATAATAATGATAATAATAATAATAATAATAATAATATTAAATAAAGAGAGAAGAAAAGGACAATCATAATATTACTGGTTATTAATAGTTATTAAGTTTACATAAGAGTTAGGCCAGTGAGAATCGTTGACTCATATATGCATAGGGGTGGGTGGGCATGGCCAATAATAACAATAACAATAATAATAATAATATAACTAATAATTTCATTAAAAAACTGCTCATTAATATTCATGAGTTAGACGATTCGGTCACCACACCCTCAATGATTCTAACACAATTTATAAATTTAATAATAATAATAATAATAATAATAATAGCTACTTACTTCTCTTCATTATTAGTGGGCGTGGTTTCAGTTTCTTCAATAGAAACGTCACTAGATTCATTTAGTAGTAAGGGATTACCAGAATCACCATCAGTAACACCATAATTAACTGACCTAATGATATCAATAATCATAATTACCCTTTACAAAATCTCGACCCTCTAAAACTATTAGCCACTTGCACATACTGTACATGTACATGTAAGTATGGTAAATTGGTAATCAATAATAAACTATTATTGATATTGCTTACCTATCTTCATCAGATGAATTATTACCAGAACTATGATCAGAATCAGCACCTCCCTCCTCTTCCTCCTCCTCTCTCTCATTGCTCTGTAATAAATTATTATCAAGGATCATGTCCTCTTCACTGCCAACAGAGCCGATGCTACCAGTACTACTGATCCTAGTATATTGGTCTACCCTCCCAGACACGCCCCCTTCTCCTGACACTTGTATGGATGCACTAGACGTAACTACAGAAGTACTGGCTGATTCTGACTCAAGTTCTTTGACCGATACATATGTAACAGATACTACAGTGTCCTCCTTACTAGAGAAAAGAACGTATATACATGTACATGTACATGCATAATATAAAGTACAGCAAAATACATGTACATGTACATGTAGTATAATCTGAGTACCATTAGTATTAATATTGTATCTTACACTTGTCCGGTTGAAAATGTAGAAAAGTCGGCCCAATTCTTTTCATCTGCTCCTCCTCCTCCTCCTCCAGTTGTTGCTGGTGCTGGTTCTTGTGTCCAGTCGTTGGGGTCAGGTCTTGAGAGGTCCTCGTCAGTTGAGAACTCTGACTTCCACGATATAACACCTTTAATTATAACGAATAATAGTCGTATTATAAATTAATCAGAAAACTCGCCAAAAACCCTCTACTATTATAGTCAGATTATCCCACAAAGGCAGCACATGCTCAGTCAACTAAATAACATGCTTCATGAGCTGACAATTAAACACTACAATAATAATACACAATGTAAATGTATGTGCACATACGTGTATGGCTTTTGGAGCAACTTTAAAAATTTATAAAAAATCCAAACTTGATTGGAATCAGCTCAAATTTGACCAATGACCCTGTACTATATTAGTACAGGGACTTTAGTCAGAACTTTGAATAACTTCAAAAATCGTAAAAATCACACTTTTACACACAAAAAAGGATACACTACAAGTGTAGCTCTCACCAATCTCATTTGGTTCAGAATTTCTTTCTTTCCCTTCGACAATAATCAGTCGATCCTTCCCACCCATCAGTTTCAAGGAGTCCTCATCATCGCTCGACTCGGTTGGGAACTCTCTCCTCCGTCCCTTCTCCTTATTTGTCTCGTCCTCATCATCCTCCTCGCTGGTGCTAATCAACGACCGCTGTCCCAGCGAAGACACAAACGAGATCTCCTTTTCTGCCCAAGGGCTCGACTCCTAAATTATTCTAATTAGAGCCCACACATTAGCGAGCTAACCTCTTCGTCTTCACTGTCAGTGTCGTCAAAAGGATGGATCCTCTCAGAGCAACAAGCCTCAAAGCCGGCCATTAGCTGAGTGTGTACCTCATCGGCCTCCACAGTGCAGTTGATGGAGGTGAGGGCAGTGTATGTGTTAGAATAGGAGACTGGGGCTGGATCAAGGCCATCGTTTAGTCCAAAGTCCTCTATTAATATCGTTGAGAAACGACTGTCTTGATATTGCTGGAATGCCTTTGAAAAGAAAAAATGTACACATTATACATAAAGCTAATCACATAAGAGGTATACGTATGACAAGATATTACACATAATGTGTACAACTGACATAGTAAACGTAAGACTAATTCATTTAAATAAATAAACAGACACAGTGAGTATATACTGTACCTTTTCAAACTCATTATCAGGGCCCATGTTCAAAGGATCAAACTCTTCGTCACTATCATCAATACTAGAGGTCAAGGCTCGGGAACCACCCTAATTAACAATAATGTTGAATCATATACCAATTAACTCCATTATCAATGTTAGTACCAAATTGGTGTCATTCTTCTTATTCATCTCGGCAATCGGTCCGCTAATAAACTCTGTCCACTTTTCATACGTGTCTCTATCAAGTTCTCCTTGCAGTCTTTCGTCGTCAACCGTTGCTGTTGTGGTAGCAGCCTCTTCCCTTGCTCTTTCCAACACGCCCCCCATGTTGCCGAGACGATCATTCCCTGAAATCTGATTGGCCATTCTAACGAGGTGACCCATGAATCCTAAACGAGTTCCATCTATCTCACTACTACCACTAGAGAGAGAGAGAGAGAGAGAGAGAGAGAGAGAGAGAGTAAGGGCTAGCAATGAATGTATCATTATATTACATCAGTTCTTGATTTGTCCTAGCTCCATCTAGCAACCTTTGAACTAACTTTGAATCACTCAATAGCTACATATATAAACAATAGTTATTATTATAAAAATAAAAAGATAATAACAATACAAATGTGCATGTTCTCTTACATGTTGCCTAAGAGTGGTGGTGTTGTTAGGCTGTCCAGTCCCATTGTCCATTTCCATTGTGACTGGACTCACTGAGGCAAGCCCTGCTATAATGCAAGACTCAACTTGCGTGTGTAGGAAATTGTTCCATGGATATTGAAAAAATAAATCCTAGAAAAAAGGGACATAAACAATTAAAAAAATAAGCATATATACACAGCTGTACGTGTACATATCCAACGCCATATGATGCCCATATAAGGCTAGTTTACACAGCAACAAAAACAATGCAATCCGTACAGTTTTGTGCCTGGTTTTCGCTATTGTTTACACGGAATGAATCAAAATGTGATAAGTTTTAAGGAACGAAACAGCGTTTTAAAAAAACAATGTCCTCACGTAAACAAGCCTAAATATGGCGCGCTACTGCTCCTCCTGCAAGTCTTACCAATAATACTGTTAGTGTTGAATTTAAAATTATTTCTTTTTGTATGCGAGTATCATGTGAGTAAAGGAGAGCAGAGAAAAGCCTCACAACCTGGAGCCTCATGTTACCCAACGGAGGATCCAGCACGCCAACAGTCGTCACCATAGTCTCGCACTACAAAGAAATAATACATGTACATGTACAACTGCGTCCTTACCTGCGGCTTCCTATTTAAGAGATTATGAAATAATTTCACGCAGGGAACGATATTAGTTATAATCTTTTCCGTCGATTGATCGACAGGAAGAGCCTCTTCTCCGCCTCCTCCTGTTGCTCCCGATTGAGGATAAGATCTACTAAACGTGGGGCTGTAGCCACTGCCATAATTCCTAATGAAATATTAAAGAGTAAATATTTAGTGAATAAAGCTTAAATACACAATTAATATAAACAAGTAGTGTACCTTATGAATAAAAATAAACAAAAATTAAAAAGTTTTATACCTTTTCTCTAGAGCAGTTAACAGTACATAGGTTCCATTAATGATGACCCAATCGGGTGGGTCATCCACCGAAAACATGTTATCCAGTAATCTCTTTATAGTCTCCTCGCTATATTTTAAAACATAATAACTATTAATAACTAGCCACACCTACTTTTCTAGTGTCTTCAATAGCGGGCCGGGTCCCGACATTTGAGCAGATTCACGTGATATTCGTAAAATATCGCACAAAGCTTGACTCGAGTTGACACATTGCTAAAGAAGATAATGATAATAATTATAATTATAATGATAGTGACACATACATCAACGCTTGACGAAGTCGTAACAAAATCTATTAATTTCTCGATAACTCCTTCATCAGATAACCACTAATAAATAAATAAATAAAATAAACAAACAAACAAATAACAAATCTTTACCATAGCAACGTCTTGTCTCCCCTGGTCTCCCTCGGGTGCAGCAATCATTTGTAGGAGCAAGTCCATTATGGCAGACGTGCCGAGGTGTTTTAGAAAATGATCGACAAAGCCCTCGATTTTCTGTATGTACTCCAAAAACAACGTGGTTCTCTGGCCTAGCAACATTGCAAGAATCTTACTATTGAAACTGGATAAGACAAAGGAAAGTAAAAGTAATGAAGGAATGAATGAATGGTGTACCTAGCTATTAGTGGATTTAGTGGTGGCTCATCATGCAAAAACTTCCATAGCATTGGCAGGAACTTTTCGGCTGTAGCAAGACCCTCGACAATGGTAAAGACATCAGCAGTTAGTATCTCACAAGCTAAATGAGGATACCTTAGCAGCAGAATAAGACAGAGAGAGAGAGAGAGAGAGGAAGAGAGAGAGAGAGAGAGAGAGGAAGAGAGAGAGAGAGAGAGGAAGAGAGAGAGAGAGAAAAGAGAGAGACAGGAGAAGAGTGAATGACAGGAAAAGATGTTATCATTATTACTTAAACTTGTATTTATCCTCTAGGTCAGGCTCAGACACAACACAGGCATACTTGACAAGTGTCTCAAGATTATCTTCCTTCTGTAAACTACAAAAGGACAGAAAAAACCATAACGTGTGTGTGTGTGAACTACCATACACCATGTACATAAACAGAGAGTGGGTGGATCAGGGAAAAGGGGAGGAGAGAAAATGAGAGAGAACTCACAATTCAACTAGTTTCTTATTCTGTGATTTGACTTCTTGTAAAACGTCGTCTTCGTCAAGAATCTCGTTCAACGTGCAATCCTTTGTAACGAAAGGAGAGGATTACCAATTGGTAACAATGAGGCGTTTGAATAGAATGCAATTATTAACAATAAACAAAAATTATACTCAAAAGACAACAACCATACATACATGTACATGTACTTATACACGTACATGTATGCTCACTGTGTTTAAGTAGTCTAAGTATATATATAGAGTATGTATAATATCAACAATTATTGGTTATTATTTACATACACACACACAAATATAAATATGACATTAAACTCATTAGTCGGTTAATAATCCTTGAAATCCATAAATGGAGCCATATCTCATTCTCATACCACTACTAGCAGCCCCTGTCTCTCTCTCTCTCACTAAACTCTTTACCTCTTTGTCAAGGAGGCCATCGATAGCTGACGTTGGTCTAAAGTTAATTTTCCAGAACATTTTAAAAACTTCCTAAGAGAGAGAGAGAGAAGATATCATAGGGCAGTAGAAGGAAAGAGGGAGGGAGAAGATAAGAGATGGGCTGGAGGTGGTAAAATTTGAGAATATCATATCTATTACAAATCAAGCAAGACACAAAACCAAATCAACATGATGCCCTTCAGTTCATGAATCTCGTTCCCAGCCTAACTAGATTTACCCTGGTCCAGACTACCCCTCGCACACTCACCTTGCCTGCGGGACTGTATAATCCCAATAAACTACTTATTGGGACAAAAAGACTGCTTCTACAGGCACAAGAGAAGGTGCAGCAACTTAAAGAAGAGAAAAAAAGTGAGAATTAGAGAGAAGAACAGCTCCTTTACTGACAAGACACGATGCAATTATCCGCCATATACGTCACGTGACCTTTTAAGTGGGCGTGCCTGTTAAGAGGCGTGGTTTCTGTTTATTAAAATTAATTAAAAAAACTCGAGTCTGCGCAGAAGAGGTTCCCGCCAAGTTTCACCATTTACGCATGCGCAGTTAAAAATTAAGATGGCGGCCGGTTCTCGTGAAAGAAATCCTGGGATACCTCTTGATTTGGGTTGGGTGGAGAGCTGTGTCGTTAATCTCCCCGCTGCAAACAGGAGAGCAGCTACGCATAAAACCAGACGCAGCATAAAAAAGGAATGGCAGGCAGCTTGGCTACTGAGGGCTGTCACGTGCATTGACCTGACCACATTAGACGGAGATGACACCCCAAGCAAGGTAGTAAGTCTACTTCTCATTACAATCTATTTGTAGTGCCTTAATACATTTTGCAAAATCATTATTTTTGCTTCTAACTCAATGCATAATTAGCACCTTGTAATGCGTGGGTGGGCTCAGCTAATTTATTAACGATGGGCGTGGTTTCCAACAGTTCTGTGTCATCGTTAGGTTGATAGATTATGTCACAAGGCCTCTACTCCTGTTCGTCAAGACATTATAACTCAGTTAGGGATGGACGGTGTTCCACTCTCAGTCGGTGCAGTGTGTGTCTATCCTGAACGAGTCCCCGATGCCATTCGCTCTATGAATACCATTAACAGTCAAGTAATTAATAAAATATAATTCATTTTTAATTAGCCACGCTCTTTTACACAGGTCCCCATTGCCTCGGTTGCAGCAGGGTTTCCGGCTGGTCAGATACCGCTAGATCAAAGGTTACAAGAGATAAAGAGAGCTATTGAATATGGAGCAACAGAAATAGATATTGTGATATCGAGGACCCTCGTCCTTAAATCTGATTGGGCCCTTCTATACGAGGAAGTGAAAGCTTGTAGGGAGGCATGCGGCGAGGGGGCCCACCTGAAAACAATATTGGGAACGGGTCACCTTGGAACTCTGACCAACGTTTATAAAGCAAGTGTTGTGTGCATGATGGCTGGCTCTGATTTCATCAAGACATCAACAGGGAAGGAAGCAGTCAATGCAACATTCCCAGTAGCACTGACTATGATAAGAGCCATCAGAGAATATCACACTCGTACGGGATACAAGGTCGGTTTCAAACCAGCTGGGGGAATAAGGGCAGCTAAGGACGCCCTCTCCTGGCTTGCTTTGATGAAGGAGGAGTTGGGTGATGATTGGACAAAACCGGATTTATTTAGGATAGGGGCCAGCAGCCTGTTGGGAGATATAGAGAGACAACTCTATCACCATGTCACTGGGAGATATGCTGCAATCCACGAAATGCCTTTATCATGAATGGGTTCTATTATTGTATCGCTAGTGTTTGTGGGAAAATTCTAATTACAAAAATAATTATTACTAATAATGATAAATTTAGAAGTTTGTGTCGTTATTTTTTCTGTGTTATTTTAGTAACTGGTAATTCTTCGCTGTGTCTTGCTTGCGGTATAAATAAAGTCTCAAATATATCGTTAACAAATGAAGGGTGATATTGAATGGCCCTGTTACAATCAGGACAAAAATTAACTTCGCATATCTTTGGTTGAATGTGCTGACAACCTATTGAGATTATAAGGATACGAGTTATATTGAAAGTGTGTTTATTACCGCATCCATCATCAGGTGAACTCCATTCTAATAATAAATCAATGGCATACATAGCACGTGACTATTTTTATAAAAGACAAAAAAAAAGAATATACTATAAAATTAGCATGTATTATTATTATTATTACCTGGGGGTAGTGCTTGATACCAGCAGGTGGTTCTTCAGAGGCAGCTGCAGTAAATAATTCATATATCAAGTTATATATATCATCTTGTACATTAGACCAGGACTGGTCAGGATACTGCTCATGGAATAAAGGTATGAAATCGACTGACTCTATGTGCTTCAATGGAGAGTCATCTTTATAATTCATGACTGTAAAATGAGTCTCGTAATCGTGGAAGGAACTCATTTGGAAAGGCCTAACAACAGTGGAGATACATGTAAAATTATAAATAATAAGCAAGGTTTTCAGCATAGTCCTCTTATCAGTGGATTTTGTATGAATTTTTAAAAGTTGCTCCAAAATTGGGCCAAAGTCCCTGTACACAGTCTCAGGCCAAATTTCACCAATAATGAAAAGGAGAGAAATCTACATTTTTATAATTTTTTTTCTGATACATAACGCATGTCTTATGTTGTGTAGAAAGTTTGAGCTAACTCCGATCAAAATTGGGTCATGCTTGTCAGCTCATGAAGCATTCACATGCTTACTTGTTGGCAAATCTTAGCCAGAAAGTATTGTAAGCGTAGATCACTAATGGCTTCACCGAAACTAGCAACACAATGTACCTCACATCCATCTTAACCTTCCCAATCCCTTCCCTGTTGAATAGGACAGGATTATTAACATACTTACAAACTACCTGGAGAGAAAGAATGACAGTAACCAAAGGAAGAAGAGAATATATAAATACTTTGGGTGAGGCTTGGGACAATCTTATTATCTGGGAAAGATTAGACGTGACAAATATGTCCATGGATCGACCTAAATTCCACGGTTTCACAATCCATGAATTATCTTCACCACTACATGCAAACAACAACAACAACAATAATAATAATAATAATGATAATAATAACAATGCTCTACTTTTCTTCTCTTCTCTTGTATTCCTTTACAAAGTAGGGTAGCTCGTAATACGTAATATAAGACTCTGGTATCCAATCGGGTAAGGAAGAGGGGTCTTGGGCATGGTTCTTTGATGCCCGACGGGCTACGCTAATTAACAAATCTTTACACGTTAGTACATTTTCACATGGAAACTGATTGATTAACTGATTGGGCTTTAATGACCTACAGAGAGAGAGAAGAGGAATAAGAGATAAATAATTCATAAAATGTCATGAGTTCATGACTAACTTAAAATCTTTATAATGATCGAAAAACCACAGGATATCTGCTTTCTCTGGATCACTAACAAGCTCAAATAACGGATGAGACAAATTCTTTTTTATCATGTCCATATCTGTATAGACCTAAAGAAACATGCATATAACCATGTTTATGAATGACAATATTACTTTAAATGGAGGAGACAAGACAGAAGTGAACTCTAGCGTTACATCTGGCAGATCTTCTAAAGGTCTTTCAGGATTAGGTGCAAGTGGTAGTGAATCAAGCTCATCCCATAGAGGATCAGATAAAGGGAGAGACTGGGGAGGTAACCACGGGAGAGAGTGACATTGTTTTTCTAATTCTGAAGTAGCTCTTGATGGGACTCTGTTCCTTGAGATGGTATCTGAGACAGAGAGCGAGTGAGATATAATAAGTAAAATTCTTTACCTCCATAACTTAGGTCCCGCAATGGCCATAGTATTGAGTATGACATCTGAGTTAATATGCTAAAGAATGGTACAATGGTTACATTAGGATCCAGAGAGTGCTGTATTCTAGCAGCATAATCTTCCATTACGTACCAAATAGGCACTGGCTATATAAATATAGGAATAAAGTAAATTTCTATATTCAATACTTACCATATTAGCAATGGTGTAACAATCATTAAATCTCCATAATTTACGCACTATATTTTCTATTAATTCTTCTGATGGTGGTTCCTCTTCCTCTGTGTCTTCTCTCTCTCCTTCTTCTTCTTCCTCGCTTTCTCTCTCCTCTTCATCAACAGCTGCTGATGATGTCTGAACTGCTACAGCATCAGGATCATCATCATCACCATCATCACTATCACCTAACATTAACAATTATTAAAGAAAGTGCTCTGAAATCAGCCTCAACTTTTATTTTATTTCCTAATACACATTGATGCCCCTTATTCTATGTAAAATAATGGTCAAATTGATGATACATAAAAATTAATAAACATGCACTAAGGATGTACATGTATGTGTGATCGAATGTACTTTCAGTATTATTGACTCCATTCAATCCCTCCCCATCCTCTTCTTCTCCATTGCTGTGACTTGGTGTGGCTTGAGTAGGAGTGGTTGGCTCTTCGATGAGATCTAAAAGATTAGCCATTCGAGTAGCTAGTCCCGGAATACTTGCTAGTTGCTGGTGACAGTTATCAGGAAGATACGTCCACGAATGATCAATAATAAATATACTAAATTAAAAATAATTAGTATATAAAGTATATTGAGTAATTAGGTACCTGTTATCGTCTATTTTGAGACCTTCTTCATTACTAACTTTAATGCTCCACCCACTAGATGATGGGCACATTATAAAATGCTCTCCGGCATCAAAAGTCTATCAAAAACAATATGAGGGAATAAGACACGTGCAAAGTACCTCTGTGCACAGCTTTCTGAATAATGCCTCGTGATGTCTCTCCGGTATAGCGGCCAATTGCTGCCTGTGTATTGTCCGCCATTGTTGATAGTCCATATTGTACCACGTGGGTAGAGAACGCCCTGAAACTGGGTGGGGCCTGTAATATGCGTGGGCGTAGACTGAAAATGGCTACAGAGCATGAAGAGATAAAAATACTGACTTTAAATGCCTGGTAAGTTAGTCATATACCCCTTTACTGGGACTTCTTTTTTTAGGGGACTGCACTATTTTGCCAAGAACATCAAAGAGAGATTTGATCATATTGCAGATGAAATGATAATTTATGACATTGTCTGTCTCCAAGAAGTATATACATGCTACTTCATACACACATAATTTGGTATTTTTAAAAATAGGTATGGAGTGACAGTGACTATCGTATGCTTTCTGACTCTGTTAGGTCAGAATTGCCTTATTCAACTCATTATCCCAGGTAAGTTAAAAGCATATAAAAATATATTTATATGTAAATTTCCGCTTCCTTCAATCATTTCTCCCTTCACTAGTGGTATAATTGGTAGTGGTTTGTGCATTTTCAGTCGATATCCAATAATGAACGTGTTCCATCATGAATACAGGGTCACACATACGCTGAAAAACTTTTCCGATGGAGAGAAATTTGCCAAGAAAGGAGTGTTAGCGGCACGAATTGAATTGCCATTATCACTTGGTTTTATCACTGTCTTTAATACACATGTAAGTAATCAAACAGAAATTAAGAGTATTGATTATCTTTGTAATGACAATTAGCAGTCATAATTTTTTTTAATCCATAATAGATTAATTATGGGCGTCGTAATAATCAATTTGCAGAGTTGATGCAGTTTATGAGCAACATTGCTCACAACTCTCCTGTCATCCTTTGTGGAGACTTCAACACTGAGGCTAACCATCACTGCTACAGGTATCAACAACTTTATTCACCTTGTTATTATTATTATTATTATTATTATTATTATTATTATTATTATTGTTACTATTATTATTATTAGTGTAATTACTAAAGTCTTGAAACTAAGTGATGCATTTATTGATGATCCTCAACCCACTTGTGACCTGCCAGGTAATTTGTACTCTAAGTCTAAACCGAGCTGCCCCACTGGCAAAAGACTGGATTACATATTCTATTCCAGTGAAGCTTTTGACAATAATTGTTCGCTTGAAGTTAAAAGTCATCGGCTAAGTCTCTCGGGAAACATACCAACCAAAGGATTTCCTTATTCTGATCACGAGGGGCTGGAGGTGGTTTTTAATATCATACCTCCTAAAACTGGTCCTTTTCTGCATGATGTTATAACAGGTAAGATTATCGTGATGTCATGACAGAGAAATGAATCCCCTTACAAATTTCAATAACCTGCATCATTCCTCTGCAATTATAGATGGATACTTGTTGAAAGTTGTTTGTTGTATTTTGTATGACGGTTATTGCATCTGTGTCAGGGAGTCCTGAAGTGTTTGTTAACTTTGTTTATGTGACAGTCAAAAATGAAAGTACTGTTAATCTTTTTTTTTTCAATTATTGTAGAAGACTCCTTAAGATCATTGGATGCCATGGCTGACGAGATTAATAATGAACTGGTGCCCTTACAGAGAATCTACGAGTCGAAGAACAAGCATCTCATGTTGCTGTGGATACTGCTAGTCCTTGTATCACTGGCTGTGAGTGTCCTCATGGTACTCCCATCTGTATACAATGGACTAAGCAGCTGGTATCTCCAAATACTCTGTTCTCTGATTCCTTCTGCATCATGGATGATATCAATGTTCATATTCTTTCACACTCTTGATTCCGTTCACATGATGAGAGGAATGATCGCCAATTACAGACAAGTCAATTTGTTAATAGATCACAACAGAAATAAACAAAAACGCAATAACTATTAATTATTATTGGCTACTATACTTTGTGTGTATCTGTTATTCACAATAATAATAACAATAATAATAAACTAATAACTAATCACTTTTGTTCAAATATAATTGTTATTTTGTAATTTTAGTCTCTAAAATGGCGTGAAGGATTATCACCAAACAGCATAGAACGGATTTCAGGCATCATCTAATAATTACAATAAAGGTTTTGTAATATGCAGGCTTCATATTAATAGCTTACTTGTCCACTGAGCAATTCTAAACGACTCTCCAGTGTATTAGTCAGTTTTATCTTTCCTTGTTGAGTGTACATGTCAATGCCTCCAGAGCTATAAAATAAAAATAAAGAGACCTCAAACCGTGCTAATGGCTCTGTGGCTTAGTTGGTTAAAGCGCCTGTCTAGTAAACAGGAGATCACCGGTTCGAATCCGGTCAGGGCCTCTTTTTTTTTTCCTTTTTTTTTTTGCACACTTCTTACCAATCAGGAGGAAGAAACTCTTTGTCATCCAAAGTTACAGTGCAATCATTTCCAGTACCTTTTTTATAGGCAAGAACTGCTGACTCATAAATAGCCTACAAAACATGATAATTCTTAATTTAAAAAGTTAATTTTTTTAAACAATTATACTTTGATTAGATTGTAGTCTTGCTTCCTACACCTAATAAGAACTTCTTTCTCTAACAGTTGGTAAAGACCCTAAAATAATAAATTTAAAAACAACGAACAATCATTGCTCATAAATACTTGAGTAATCAAATCTTTCAACAGCTGCTGGTAGCGTGGAATATCACGTGTAATCTCTCCGATCTTCTGACGAGCTTCCTCAAGAATGCGCTGCATAGCAAAAAATAATTATAATGATAGGGCGAGGTCGTGAATAGTTAGTACTTTGATATGATCGTCTTTTGCTTTTAAAACAGATAATCTTGCTTGATTCAGTAAAGTAGAGTGTTGACTAATTAATTAATTAATTAATTAACTCATTAATTAAGATAATTAAGATAATTAATACTCACATCTTACGTTGAAGCTCCACTTGTTTTTCCTTCCGATCGTAATAATTATCAATTTTTAGTTTCTCAGTCTGCAAGAGCCTTCCCTTCTCTATATTGAACTCCTCTTCGGCCTACACACACACACACACACACACACACACACATGAGCACATGATACAATACATACAATGGATGTGAATGGGAATCACCTTGTACTAAATAATTTACACACACAAACTTAGAGCAGGGCTCCTTCTCTCCCTTTTTACTTTAAATACATTTCCCTTGTCTCCCACTTTCCTAATCTCCTTCCTCCCCCTCTCTCCGGTACATTTATAATTATACGTGCAATAAATTATGTATACATGCAATGTAATGTACATATATTCCTTTCTTTCTGACCTTGACTAGGATCTCATCAGCTTTCTCGTTTGCTTCTTGAGATATAAATTGTTTCATTTGACGGATCTAAGTAAAAGACGAGGTGCAGAGAGGAATGGGAGAGGATAGGCTAACCTGCTTCTCCACTTCATCGTCAGAAAGAGCCATGACAAACCTCCTCTAAAAATATACCTTTTCTTCTTTCTTAGATTAGATCAGGTGACACGCCCTTTCTAATTAACGCACACGAGATAACTAGACACGCCCATTTGAAATTTGAACCGCGCCCACAGTGACAACACAGCAGGAACCATTATAAAAACAGGCTGAAAAGGGAGAGAATGCCACAGTTATAGAGAAAGTAACGGGGAAACCAAGCTATTTAAGACATGGATCAAAAGCTATACTACCGACAAATGAGTTATCAGGACAAGGACCTAATGCAGGGGCTTTGTAACGAGTGCTTTCCTTTGGAATATCCTGAATCATGGTTTGATGGGCTACTCAGAGAAGACAGGTATACCTACACCCTGGGAGCGTATGAAATAGAGACTGGGACCATGGTCGGAATGATTGTAGGTCAGATACAATCAATTAGACAGATTGAAAATGAATACGGATTCGTTCTCGAGGAAGCTTCGCCGAATGATTGCGTAATGTACATCACTATATTTGGTAAGTTAAACATTAGTATTACTGACTCTGTTTATCCCCTCTCTTTTTCTAAAGGTGTCAGTGAGAGATACAGATGCAAAGGGGTTGGCTCATACCTAATGCAGTCACTTATAAATTACAGTATAACAGAGACTAATTGTAATTTGATATATCTCCACGTCGAGGCTGTAAATTCGACGGCCATTACATTCTACCAGAGAAGAGGATTTACTTATCACTGTACAGATGTAGGCTACTACATGTTACCGGGTGACACTACCCAGTCAGATGGATTAGTCCTAATACAATTCATTAATAATGGGAGACCTTACAAAAAGTCATTTGACAATTGGTGTAAAAGAAGCATTAGCGGAAATCCTATCATGCAGTGTTTGGGAGGCGTGGTCAAAGGACCTTTTAGCTCTATAAGACACATATGGCATCGATCGATGTCATCTCCTTCTTAATTTTATGTCTCGTGTTATTTTTATTTTGATAATTATCGTAATTATTGTGTTCACTATTATATTAATTTTTATGTTTTAAAGACATAAATTTGTAACAACACCAAAATAATAATAATAATAACAAGAATAATATTATAATAATAGCTAAATGTGTTAAGTGTTAAAATAATTGCTATTCTTATTAAAATGTTGGAGTACTTGTAATGATTAATCTGTCCTCTTCTTTCTAAAGAAATGAATAATAACTTTAAGGCCTTTCTACACTTCCAATGCGGTTTGAACTGATTTAGAACTGATGTGCTTGAATGCCCATCAAGAAATTCCACCTTATCTTGAGAATCTTCTATATTTTGATAGTATTTCTGATCAAGCTACCATTGGTTATCATTGAATGTGCATTCAACCCACATGTGGAGGTGGTTAGACATAATTAATGCACATTGAAGCAAATGTGCATCAGGTATTTAATAACTGGAATCGGTTTCAAACCAGTTCAATGCGCATTAGAAGTGCTAGTGTAGAAAGGGCCTTATACAGTAACCACAGGATATTCAATGTTACTAATTATAGCTATGACATATTCATAGAAAATAAAGTTATGTCATATCCTTTATGTTACTATTTATAGCAACAACTATGAGCAAAGCATTTCATTGTTAATTTACACATAACTGGAGTACAATGAATTGTTTATGTTACAGGGAAACTATGACATGACAGAGGTGTACATGTACATGTACATGTTGCATGTATGCTTACATTAATCCATCGAATTAGTTTATTTCCCAAAAGTATTGCTTGAGCTTTTGATATTAATGGGTCAAATACGACATATAGATCAAAATTAGACGTTCTCTAAACATTTAAAAAATAACAAAAACACATTTAAAAAAGTACCAGCTAGATACATCACACATACCCATCCAAGGAGAGCTTCCTTTGATCCTATGTGATAGAGTATTTTAGTAGCCCAAGCATGGGAATGTAGTCTCTGATTCATTGTCATAAAATAGTCGAATAATCTAAAACGAGTGTGATTTTTGGACCTTGGTTAATGTTACAATACCTTAGCCGGTCTTCTTCTGATGAGTAGAGGTGGGGCATTGTTGGTGAAGTGATGGAATAGGATTTACGTGATCTATATAAGAAGTGTCTGATTTCGGGAGCTTGCAAATGATCTGTAATAATAACAACAGTAGTAATAATGATAGTAACTAGAAGAGCTATAATCATGTTACTGTTTATATAGCAACAATCATAAATGGAAGTTTCTAATAATTAAATAATAATTATCATTATTTTACCAATGTTATAATCTGATGTGTCAACTGAGTTTGATATCTGCTCTAAAAGCCCCAGTTTCGATAATTTCTAACATCAGCAACAAAAAGAATAATAACGAAATAAATACATGTACATGTAATTAGCGTACATCGACTATTCTTTCCTTGCATTGTTGCAGCTCAAAAAATTTCTCTTTATCAGTTGAGAAGAGAAGGAGACAGGCTGGGGAGTTTTCTGGTAGATATGAGACGTAGGCATGAAGGAACCCAGAGTCGTTGAACTTTGGCAGGCATATTGGGGTCCAGCTCTCGGCTGATTTAAAACTAGTCGAAGCCATCACCAAATTAAATATTAAATGAATATCTATATAAACAAAGGACGTTAATATGTAACAGAAAATGCAATAAAAATTGGAGGTGATTTCGGAGCCATTTTTTGGAAAAAAACCATGGGCTATAGCCTTGGGTATTTTTCAGGAATTGGCTCATTTTTTAAAATGGCTGTAACTTAAAAAACTGAAGTCGGAATCACCCCAAACTTGCTACACAGCATAAGGACATCAATATGTATCAGAAAATGTAATAAAATTTCGGGGTAATTTCGGAGCCATTTTTTGGAAAATACCATGGGCGTCTTGGGTATTTTTCAGATTTTGGCTCATTTTAAAAAATGGCCATAACTTGAAAAATTGAAGTCGGAATCACCTCAAACTTGCTACACAGCATAAGGACACCAATGTGCATCAGAAAATGTAATAAAAATTGGGGGTGATTTTGGAGCCATTTTTTGAAAAAAACCATATTTTTCAGAAATTGGCTCATTTTTAAAAATGGCCGTAACTTGAAAAATTGAAGTCGGAATCAACTCAAACTTGCTACACAGCATAAGGACATCAATGTGTATCAGAAAATGTAATAAAATTTCGGAGTAATTTCGGAGCCATTTTTTGGAAAAAACCATGGGCTATAGCCTTGGGTATTTTTCAGAAATTGGCTCATTTCTTAAAATGGCCGTAACTTGAAAAATTGAAGTCGGAATCACCTCAAACTTGCTACACAGCATAAGGACATCAATATGTATCAGAAAATGTAATAAAAATTGAGGGTCATTTTGGAGCCATTTTTTGGAAAAAAAACCATGGGCTATAGCCTTGGGTATTTTTCATAAATTGTCCTATTGGTTATGCTATAAGACATGCATTTTTTTCTAAAAATAAAAATTCGTTCAGATACCAATGATTAATTAGAATTAGCCCAAACTTTAAGTGTACATGTACAGTACAAGTATTCTACCTATTGGATGCAAATTATGATCCTTAGGCTTTATGAATGTGATGAGCCTATCCTCAGCAATTAATAATGCAAATAAAACTTCCTATAATTGATAGTAGTTACTATTATTATTAAATTTTAATAATGAAATACCTTAGCTCTGTATTGTAATATAGTACTCGTTATTGTTTGTCTTAATGACGGGCTCATTGATAAACATCTAATCTATATAAACAACAACAATAAACAACAATAAAATAACAATAAACAACAATAACAATAACAAGTCAACAACAACACTCACTCCATTTAAAAGGTAGCATGGATCAGAGTCGGTAATATTTAAAATATTGTCAATAAATTTCTCAGACCCTAATCGCAAGGATGATAATGATATGTGGTTCACAACCACATGGCGGCTGGAATCAGTGTTGCTTGCATACCTTGTAATAAGTATCTCAAATCAAAGCCAGGACTTCTTTCAAATATTTGCTTGATTTGTGTGTACGTGAGTACACTTATAATTTGGTAGTAAGCGTACGATAATTGTAATTTTAACTAAAAGGGAGGAACAGGATCATGAGCCAGTATTTGTAGTACAGCTATAACTTTACTTGGTTTTCTGATAATTTTGAGCGTGATACAGCCACGAAAACAACCAGTGGCTTCTGAAGGAAGACAATCTTTAGATTCTGAGCACTTATGCACCTAAAAATTACAAATAAATCAATCATACACACTATTATTATATAGCAAAAAAGTAAAGTGTGATCAACAGGTCAAGCAAATACAGAATGACAAAATACCCTGTATTATTATTGTACAAGGTGTTTTTTTCAAATTTTGGAGCAACTTAAAACTATGTTCTATTGCCCCCTAGAACAGATAATGATAAATAGAAATCTACTATACATGTACATGTACAACATACATGTATACTACACGAGTACACGTACATGTACATGTACATGTACATGTACTTACCTCAGGACGTCTTTGTCATCAGCCACAAAGGAGACGAGTGCTTGCATTATCCCAAATAAACTCACCAGCTGCTCCTCTTTCCCATACCTGCTGTATATTGGTTTACCAGACGTACTCACAATGAATATGTGTTTGTGATGATTGATCCAAGAGGACGAATGGACATCTGTAGCACATGACACAAAATAAACAAAATAAAAATATCAATAAATAAATAAATAATTACCCTCGTCTTCGAATTCTCTCTCATCTTTCGATGTGCTGTTCATTCTTGCCCTTCTTGCAACTAAAAAGAGAATAAATTAGTTCCATTCTCTCTCTCTCTCTCTCTCTCTCTCTCTCTCTCTTACGTTCAGCTGTTTCAGGATCAGCATCAGGTAGTTTTGGTTTCTCACCGACAGTCATGGTAGATAGTAACGATGCTCCTATGCTTTGGTTTGGTCCTCCTAGAGATATCAACATGTCTGATCTCAATCCATCTTCATTTCTAAAGTGATCCTCGTCAGTTGTCAACTAAATAAAAGAGGATCATGAAATCCCCAAACCACATACTCTCATTCCCATACTCCATACTCTCATTCCCATACTTCATACTCTCATTCCCATACCTCATACTCTCATTCCCATACCTCATACTCTCCTAATATTCTCATACTCTTACGTGTGCAATGTCTTCATGTAAACTGACATCGCTCCCTCCTCCCTCCAACCCTGCTCCTCCCCCTCCTCCTTTGTCGAGTTTTTTCCTCCTCTGAGCTATACGAGGTGATGATGATGATTCCCTGCCCTTCATTAAGACTGTTAGCATCAGACACCACTAATGGCCACAAACCTTTTTCTTCGTTACAGGCAAGAAGCTTCTGTCCTCGTCTTCATCTGCTAGAGCTGGAGCCTCTACACTTTCAAACTCTTCGCTATCTTCCTCCTCGAGCAAGTCATAGCTAGTAAAGGCACATAAAGGGAAGGATCCAGCCTCCAGTACTAACCTTAGGTCCGGGGCTTGCACTGAGAGTTCTTCGTCATCGGTTTTAACCTTTTCCTTGGTCGCCATTTTTATTTAGCCACGCCCTCAAATACCGTACATCTCCGGACACTACTATATAAGTTATAGCAGTGACGTCAGGCCCTACAAAGCTATTATTAAAAGGTGACAAGTGGCAAATAGTGTAAACATAGGTGTGAATTAGCACCTCGGGGAACATATGGACATACCAATCGCTAAAATAACAATAATCATAAAAAACACCAAAAAATAAGAGATTAACTAAGACTCATCGTGATCAGTATTATCATCATCGTCAAAACGATCGTCATTGTTAGTAACAGTCTCTGTTGTTTCACCATCTCCAGTCTCACTGGCAGGCTCAGTGGGTGTGGCCTTCTCTTCAGAAGGGGGCGGGGGAGGTATCTCGCTCTTCCATGCTTGATAATTCATCTCGAGATTCGTGAGGATGATACTTATGATTTTACGAGTGACAGGAGAGGATGAGAGAGGTAGTGAATCTTCGACAGCACTAGCACTATCTAAACTATCAGTGTCATCATCGCTTCCTCCTTCCTTCTCTCCTCCCCCTCCATTGGAGGCTCCATTATCTATGATCCCTGGTATGAGGCCAGCCTCTGCACAAGCGTGGAATAATGGAGACACAAGATTTTGAATAAAGGAGACTTGGATTGCTGGCAGCTTCTCTTTTTCATTCCTGTGCATAAATATTGTCTGAGGGAGCCCTAACTTTACTTCTTCATCACTCTGTAATAGGGAGAGAGAGGGAGGGAGAGAGAGAGAGAGGGAGGGGGGAGAGAGAGAGAGAGAGAGAGAGAGGGAGAGAGAGAGAGTCAAGTATAAAAACAGTTTGATTGTTTATTCTATAATGCCACAGTTGTTTTCATTCCTTTACTTGTTGATAGAATTCTTCAGTGATGCGTACAGTCCATGCTCTATGCAACTCATAAGATTTACTCGCTGTGTTGATGTCGGCCATTTTGATGACCATCTTCATCATCTGGAGCCTATCAACTTCACTGCTCCAGTCAAGCCCAGCACTTCCATCCTCTGTCTTTAAAAAAATACATAACTCCAATAATATACTTCATTCCAAACATACTTTATCTTTGAAATCCCGAACGATGTCAAAGTGTAGTTTTAAATCTGTCGCCAGGATACACTCTATTAGCAAGAAACGGAATCTCTTCAGTTCGGATTCTTCGAAATCAGAGATGAAGTTGGTATCGCCGTGAGACGTCAAGAGGTCCCAAGAAGCGGCAGCATGGTGATTCTCCAAGACTGATTTATCATTGTAAAGCACAGCCTGTGGAAGAAAGAGAGAGAGAGAGAAGTAAAAGAAGAGAGTGACTATAAATAAATGTTCTACAATATCTCACCAGCGGATTCTTGGTGGCAACAAGGAAAGCGTTAGTTCTTCCAGGATGATCGAAATCATGCATGGCCGCAGCCATATAGCAGGCAAAGACCTCCAGTATTGAGAGAGCAGAGGCAATGTTAGTACCAGCGACTCTTCTCTGATGCCCGACCCACTCCCTGTCAGAGCTACGGGATATTTCATGAGAGAACTCTGGTATCTCCTCAAATAATAAATAAGATGTTGCATGAAGGACATCTGCAGCATGCATTCTATTATGATCTGCAAATGAAAAATATTTAAGATATTTTAAAAATTTGATATCTTCTTCTTACATGCATTATTTCCGTAATTAGCTTCAAGGATTCTGAAATAGTTTATAAATTGCCTCTGAGGGATTTTAAATGTATCAATAAGGCCTGCCTCCAAGAATAAGCAATATGCCATCTATAAATGGAAACAATATCTAATCTTTTCGTTATACTTAATAAATCCACTTGCCTGACTTAAGATGTGCTTTCCTGACTTTTCGTTCAAATCGAAAATCGGGAAATCCCACTCCATCACTTGATCCAGTACATCAATCTCGCTGTGTTGATATTCCATCAGTGAATAGTCAGTGGAGGGCAGGACTAGGGCATTAAATAGAGCTACTTTATTGGCAGGGAAGGAAGGAGCATTCAACGCTAGAGGGGTTGCAGCTGGGTCTTCACTCTCCGCGTTACCAGAAGTACCGCCTTCTTCAATGATGACATCAGAAGGAACAGAGTCATACGAAGAGAGAAGAGATCCTGTTCTTCGATGAAGAAGCACCGAACCATCTGATCTCCTCCTCTGTAGTCCAGGGCTGAAGTCGTCCTTAGTGTCACTAGAGGGAGAATCTGAATCAGAGAACAGTCTCTTGGTAGCTGATGTAGTTTTTTGCCTTTGGCCTGCGGCTTTTTCATCATCGGTAGCTGATCCTGGGACTACAGTGGTCGACCCGCCTCCATCGATATCACTCATCTCGCTCTCTTGTGAGTACACGGATGTTGAGCGAGACAAGGGAGAAGAGACCGAACCGACTCTCTTCCTAAAGTTAGGAGGTAGCTGATGGACCGAGGGTCTTCCTTCAACAACGGAGATACGACTTTTGAGATCTCTCGGAGCAACTGATCTCTTCCTTTCGACTGGGTCCTGATTAATATTAGGCAGACCAGTAGCTGTAGTAGTTGTTGTAAACTGACTAATGGGATTACGCACACTTCTCCTGTTACTCTACAATAGGCAAATAATAATTAAAGCACTAATGAAACCGATATCTCATACCTTTGAGCTCCTGTAGCCATACAAGTGTGGAGTTACCCCGATATTGCTGCTAGTATCGCTAGCCTCATCTTCTGATCCAATCCTTGATCTGGAGCTTGCTAAATGAGCTGTACGTGTTACCCGAGGAGCAAGGAGATCTTGTATGTGTTTGAGAGACTCCTTCCCTTTCTTTGTTAGACTCTCTTCTTGGAACAGCAAATCTCCCAACAGGCCATGAGCCTCATTTAAAGTATCGCTATCAAAATTCTATAAGCAACAGTAAACAATTATTATTAATAAATACAATACTTACGTTAGTGGTTACTGATGTTCCCCTACTTGACTGGGAAGTTAAGGACATCCGATGCTGTGGGACAACCGAGGAGACGTTACTAGCCAACGAAGCAGTTGAAAATCTTCTTCCTCCGGCCCCCACGCTCAAGACAGGCCCAACCCCACTAGCTCCAATGCTTTCTCCTCTAGCTACCTGGAGACTATTACGAACAAACCTTTTAATGGACGAGAGAGTGAAGTATCGTGGATATCTGTCCACGAGGAGAGAGAGGGTGATGGCTAATAGACAGGAGGAGTATACAATCTGACTGTAGAGAAAGGAAGGAAGCATATCTTTGAAGATACAACTGAGGGAATAATGAGTTATGACTGTAATGACAACAAAACTAGTCGTTTCCTGGCTAAACATGGCGGACAGGTTGTTTCTGTGTATTAGTCCCGAGAACAAAGAGAAGATGGACATTGAGAGAACAAAGTAAAAGGCGATGTCAATTGGGAAATACTCCAAGAGGCCGAGATCGATAACATAGTCAGAAAGGCAGGATATCACCTCGCTGACGCAAAGTATGGCATACGTACGTATAATTTGAGAATTGTCCGTAATTCCAACGGTTTTTCTACTGAATATGCACCAGCAGTAATAAATGGAGCAAATGAGAATGAAAACAAAACCAAACATTAGACAAAACCCGAGATACTCCGTTATTTTAAACAAAAGCCTCTGTCCAATGATTTGTATTATCAGAGCGGACAATACGAGGACGAGGAGGCTCGAGCGAACTAGCCAGCTCGGGAGAGAAGGAGGAGGGCCACCTCCATCTTGAGTGCTGAATGAAGAGAGCGCCGAGCTGCTTCTCTCCTCCGTGACACGGAGGACGGGTATACCGTCCCCTCCGTGGTTCACGACATTGTAGACTGTGTTGGCTCGCCCGTCACTCTGCCGAAGAGACGCCATAAAGGAGAAAGAAAGAGAGAGGAGAGCACAAAAATGGCGAGTGTGTGTATCTCTTTGCAGGAATGTGCTCAGCCACACCTACTGGAATGGTCGTGGGCGGGATAATTAACTGTCACGTGATTAGCGTGGGTGTTGGTGTACCAGCCACTCCCCCGAACTATGGCTGCCTGTAAGTTGATCCTTTTTTCTTTGCTGGCCGGATTCGCTGCTTATGCTGCTTATATTTTGTATGTGCATCTCATTAGTAATAGTAATAATAATGAATATTCATTATTGCAGGATAAGGTATAATACTTTTGGTCGTGTACATGAACAATTACCAGGAAAATGCAGGACATTCAAAAGTAAAATAATGATATGGACCATTTACCATTGATGTATTATGCTTGTTAATGTTGTTCTGCTATTGTTTTAGTGAATGGATCGGAGGATATTATATTCCTACCAAACTATAATCACTCAATTGTGACAAGTGTAAGTAGACATAATTTTTAGTTAGCTAACAATAAATGTGAAGTCTATTAAATTAATACTGATAGAAAATGGAAAATTGTCTTTTCCATGTTAAAAAATAGTTTTTTATATTTTTGATGCAAATTGATGCCCTAATGTTGTGTAGAAAGTTTGAGCTCATTCCAACTAAAATTTTTCCAGTTATGACTATTTTTAAAAATAGGCCAACTTCTGAAAAATACCCAAGGCTATAGCCCATGGTTTTTCAAAAAAATGGCTCTAAAATCACCCCCAATTTTTATTGCATTTCCTGATACATGTTGATGTCCTTATGCTGTGTAGAAAGTTTGAGCTAGTTCTGACTTCAATTTTTCAAGTTATGACCATTTTAAAAAATCGGTCAACCTTTCAAAAAAGCATGGACTATAGCCCATGCTTTTTACCGAAAATATTAAGTCTGAAAACAAACTCACCGACAAGTAGCAATTATTATATTAGGGAGTGCAACTTGATGTATCAGTCTTAAAACCTTTTTATGGATCATTGTATGCAGTTGATATGAATGTTGATGATCCGACTCCAATACCGATAAAATTTGAAGAGAATTACCTTGAAGAGAATCCATACTTTAACCCACATGGATTATCTTACTGGATTGATAATGAAAATGGTGACACTTTATTATACATTGTGTGTCACTGGATGGACCATGTAGATTCAGTGGATGTGTTTCTGTATAATCCGAATGAGTTTTCAGTTACGTTTTTAAAGAGGGTCTCTCATCCACTAGTCCATGAATTAAATAACATTGTTGCTGTATCCAGACATGAGTTCTATGCTACTAACTGGAAATATTTCAATTCTAAGATACTATCAAGGCTTGAGCAAATCCTACAATTGCCTTTCAATACAATAATTTATTGTAATATTAAAGACAAGTCTTGTCTAACTGCAGCTACTGGCCTGAGGTCGTGCAACGGAATAAATAAATCAAGAAATGGAAAGTAAGTAATACTTATTAATGCATAATAATAATATTTATTGTGTTATAGATTTATATATGCAACTAGCTCATTAGGTGGAGAATTGATCGCATATAAAAGATTACAAGACAACAAATTGGAAATTGCACAGGTAAAGTCTAAATCAGTAATTATTAATTAATGTTACTTGATATCATTAAGACGACACATATTCCGATCTATGTTGATAATTTAAGCGTTGACATCGTAACTGGAGACATATGGGCAGCAGTTCTTGTGAAATGTTTAGAGATGGAGGAATATTTTAAGAATCACAGGTTTAATATAGTATATATGTATTTCTTTCATTTTATATTTGATTCTATAATAGCTATCCAATACCAAGCCAGACATTGCACATAACAGTAAACGATGAGTTAGAGTTTCCATTCACCAACACAAAGACAGAGCAGATCTTTCAGTCGACCACTCATGGTGCAATCAGTACATCACTCTACGTATCCAGTCGAAGGCTACTACTTCTAGGAACTGTTCATGGAGACATGCACATCTGCCACGTTAATTATTTGATGTACTGATAATTGCGAGGGAATTTTTTTTTTTGGCTTTTGCATAGTAATTTTAATGCTGTGCATGCATAGATAGTATGCTGCTACATGAAATATTACTTTATATGCACATAGATATTAGAGTAAATGGAATATTTATGATATGATTTACTCTACTATCTATGATATGCATGTACAGAATTCCAGCCACGCCTCTACTGTACTGCATATCCAGAGAATGTCAGTTTCACCCACTACAACAGTAGAAGCTTCTTGTTCCCCTATTCCTGCTAGTTCTGGAGGAGCCAGCAATCTAGGCCCTGCATCACTGGGTAGGATAAAATGGTTGAGTGATTTAGAAAAGTTCGTTTTACTCTCTAACTTCGAGAGAAGAGGGTGGGTAAAAGGAAGCAGTGAAGGTAGAGATCTCTATGTAATAATATTGATGACCTATCATATTCTTTTCAGATGGAGATTGGAACTTTTATTGGTAAGTAAAAATGCCAAATATAAATACTGCAGGTAGTTTCAGTTGCTGTTATAGGTGCTCTGTATATGCAGCAAGGATGATGTTTAGTGTTGATAATGGAATAAGACTCGCTGATGACCAGTATGAAAAATAGTTTAGTATAATCATTGAAAGCCCACACTGTAGAATTATAAATCATTTTCCAACGCATTATGAGCTAACAAGAAAGGATTACATGGTGAAAAACATTAAGAGGTATCGCAAAGATCTTGAGAAAGATGGGAGCCCTATTGCTGAGAGGGACACCAATGGGAAATATGTTCATTTAGGTTAGTGCATTGATTTGAAAATTGCTACAGAATGCAATCAAAAACAGATTTCATACCAGTAACATTCATGTTGCCTGCTGACTATAATATCTTTGTTGAGGAATATAGGAGACAGCCAAATGCTACTTGGATAATGAAGCCTGCTGGAAAAGGTCATCATCATTATTATTATTATCAAACTCACAATAATTGTCACATTTCCTTTAGCTCAGGGCGTTGGGATTTTTCTAATAAACAAACTATCGCAGATAAAGAAGTGGTCAAAAGACAAACCATCAAAGTACTAACAAACAATTAATCGTTTGTCTATCAATATTGCAGCGTACCACATACAAAAGACACTTACGTCATCTCAAGATATATTGACAACCCACTATTGATTGGAGGAAAGAAATTTGACCTGAGACTCTATGTGCTGGTAACCTCATTCCGCCCACTCAAATCATACATGTAATAACACCTGTTTGTTAGTATACTATTATTATTATTTGTTTTTCTAACAGATATCAGTTAGGATTTTGTAGATTTTGTACAGTAAAGTATAACTCAAGCATTAACGAGCTGGATAATATGTTTGTTCACTTGACAAATGTATCAATACAAAAACACGGAGTCAGTTTGTTATTATTATTAATATTATTATTGTATTTAATGTGAATATGTGCTTTTGATGTTAGGATGAATATAATGACAGTCATGGAGGGAAATGGCCTCTCTCTAATCTAAAATTGTATCTTGAATGTACACACGGGAAGGAGGTTATATATATTTCTAACTTGTTATTATGCAGTGCATGTTTTGTTGAGATAAGCAAGCCAAAACTATCATCATCATCATCATCATCATTATTATTATTATTAAACTAGGTAACGGATAAATTGTTCAATGATATTCACTGGCTAATCGTTCACTCATTAAAATCAGTTCAGAACGTTATGACTAGCGATCGTCATTGCTTCGAGGTTTATGGGTAAGCCACTGAGTTTGATTGTGCTGTGTGTTCACGTGTGGACATACCATCACAAAAACAATCTTTTAGTTATGATATCATTATCGATGTTTATTTAAAGCCGTGGCTTATAGAGGTACAGATTACAAGTTTAAGTGAATGCAATCATAATCTCTTGTTATACACACACAAAGGTTAATGCATCACCCTCGGTTGCATACACAACCATTAATGATCGAATCATGAAGCACTCGCTCATCAACGATACTCTAAACATTATACTACCTCCAAATGGGATACCAAAGTGAGCTAACTTCATTTTAATACCAGTCGCATCATTCCTATAATAAGGAAAGTATTTATTGGAATACAATATAAAATAGGGAGGGTTAGCTATTGATCATGTGCAACAGTCCTCTTATATTGGCAGTTGTATTACTATAATTATTGTTATCAGTACAAATCTACTCTTGCTACTATCAATTACTATTATTAATTTCTTCTATGCAGCGTCCATTGGAATAAGAATCCATCGTTAGAGAGTCTCGGAAAATATGATATATTGTAAGATAGAACTTTTTTTACTAATAATAATTATTTATAAGATATGATGAAGAGGCTGCTTTGCTTGCTGCCAGGGAAGGATTGAAAACTACTAGCAATGGAGGAGGCGACGGTAAATTTCAATTTTATAACAAGTTTGAGACTAAACGGTATCCAACATGGAAATAACTACAACACAACAAGAAACAGAACAAGAGCAATGGATAATAATAATAACAATAATAATATCAAAATAATAATAATAATAATAATAATAATAATGAGTGTGATTACTGATTTCAAAAATACAAACACAAAAAAAACCATTTCATTTCCCTTTCTTTACACCTTTCTTATTGCCGTGTGCCTTCTCTTTTGCCTCTTTCTCCTTCTCCTTCACTTCTTCCTCAATCTCTTCTCTCATGGACTTGATGGCAGCCATAGCTTCAAAATTTAAAACGGTATAGTCTGATTGCTGCTGCTGCTGTGGATGATGATGAAAAGAGGAGTCACTTTGATTATGAATGACAGAAGAGGACATTGCTCTATCTCTCGTCCTCAGAGACCTCTCACTCTCTCCTCCTCCTCCTCCTATGTCCAGCTGTGCATACTGAGACGATTTTGAAATATCGAGTTCTATATAAGTTTGCATGGAGTCTCCCCCTCCACTGATTGTAGCACTTCCCCCTCCTCCTATAACATTGCTCGTTGATCTGTGTCTATAGTCTAACGAATGGTGAGTGTATGTGTGACTACGAGCAGGTTCAATCGATGAGGAGACATTAGGGCCTGGTGTTATGTTTAAATAATTAGGAGCATCCAGCGAAGTGGCCACGTCAGGGCCGGGCGTTATGTTGGTGTAGTTCGGTTGATCAGGAGGTGTGGTCATGTCCCCGGAGACTGTGTAGTTAAGATAGTCCGATCTCGGAGTCGGTGTGGATATCGGAGTGGACGCTACCACGCCCCCGGGTTTTATGTTCTCGTAATTCGGTTGATCGACAATCTCTCCGGCCCCTATTCTCCCGTTGCTTGACGGTGCTGGCCCAATGTTGATGTTGGTATACTCAGGCTGCAGTGGGACTGATTGATCAGGTGGTAGTACCTCACCCGTGCTTATATCGATATTTGAATAGGTCGGCTGATCAATCGACCCTCTCCTCTCTTCTTCTCTCAATTCCTCTCCTATCAACAAGTTCTGATACGATGACTCTGTTATGGTCTGTCTCTCTCCTCCAGCCTCTAGTATACTCTCTGATACGGATGGGAATTTCGGCCCTGCCTCAACTATCACACTCGAATTAGATGAGCAAGAAGGCGAACGGGACTTCTTGCTGTGTTTCCTTACTTTCTTATTACTTGAAGTGGACCCACCGTGAGTGTGTCTCCTCTCTCCTCCTAATCTTAGGTCATTCACTGGTATCTTCTTGCCTCCTCCTCTACTCAATTTCTCCGTCTCTTCGAACGAGATCTTTGAGTAAGGGGCATGGTCCCCCGCAGCAGACGGGACAGGCTCTGACGACTCATTTGTGAAGACGAGATCAGAATAGTTCTTTGTTGATTCGGGAGGAGGAATGGGTGGAGGAGGGGGAGGAGAGTCCTCGGGTCCTTGTGGTGTTTCAGTGTCTGGTTCGGGAGGAGGAGGGGCAGGGAGAGGAGCGGGAGGGAGAGGACTCGGAGGGTGAAACGGAGGCAGGGGAGGAGGTTCTGGGTCTTGTGGGCGGGGTGACACTGTCTGTGGACGTGGAAAAGGAAACTCATCAACAGTTCCATTGTTATTATCGACGTCAGGCTGGACCCCGCCCTGTGTTATATTCCTTGCAACCATGTTAAATAAGATGTTGGCTTTCTTGCATATAAAGGCATAGGTTCCTTCACCGTTGGCACATTTTCTTCCAGCTTCAAACGAAAAGACGTTACCCTCACAACCGTACCGCCTCAAATACTTGAAAGGCCACTCCCACTCTTGCTTTGTTTTGTTATCAATATAAATCAACTCTGTGGCTGTGACTACCATCTTCCCTTTGTGGACCAGTCTATGGTCATCGTTAATGTTGGTGACTGTAAATGTACCTGTTTGCATTCCATCCTCCCCTTCTTGCAACTGGTCGTCGCCCTTACCCGAACAATTACCCATTTTCTGAAAGGAAGAGAGAGAGAGAAAGAGAGAGAGGGAGGGAGGGAGGGAGGGAGGGAGGGAGAGAGGGAGAGAGAGAGAAAAGAGAGAGAGATTAATGCATATATGCATGCATCGAGACTGCCATTCAACACAACAAAACAACACATAAAGTGAGAATCAATTAAAATAATATGAAATGTGGTGTTAGTAATACAGGAAATTAATCAAATTCCAAGCTATAAAAACTAATAGCCTTATATATATACACATTGTGTATACACATATAGTTTATACTCTATAATATAATAGGAGTTTTCAAAAGGTCAATAATGTAGTAGCCAATGCACTTTATATCCTACAAACAGCTTCTATTCACATTCCAGCCAGTGTCAGTGTATGCATATTATTCATCACTTATAATGTGTGTAAGGGTAGAGTGAATAGTATTCATTTTCAAGATTACAAAAATGATTCAAGCAACATACCTATAAAGAACGGGTGGACATGAAAGATTAATAAGCTTTATCACAGCTCCTACGAGGAGGCACAGGCCAGGTACCTAGTAGCGGACAAACCAATTCAGTGAGCGAGCGAAGACAGACTCTCTTCCTCTTTGAGATCAGGAGGTTGAGCTACTCCTCCTCCTTTTCGTTTGCACCATTGGCGATAAGTGACTCTAATTAAAGCGCACCACTCAGTGGGCGTGTTTTTATTTTAATTGATCACGTGATAAAAAATCAAAATGGAGAAACTGATACCGGTCATCAATAAGCTACAAGACGTTTTCAATACTGTTGGAAGAGAGGCTATCCATTTGCCACAGATAGCAGTGGTCGGGACGCAGAGCACTGGAAAGAGCTCCGTACTAGAGAGCATAGTAGGGAGGGACTTCCTTCCCCGTGGTACAGGGATTGTCACCCGTAGACCATTAGTACTACAGCTGCTCCACGTTCCGGAGAACGATGCTAGACCCGGGCTTTGGGGATGGGCTAAGTTTTTACACAAGGGGGAGAGAGTCTACGAGGACTTTGACGAGATACGAAATGAGATAGCATCAGAGACAGAGTCCGTTGCCGGATCAAACAAAGGAATCAGTTCAGAGCCGATTCGACTAACGATATACTCCTCCCATGTTCTGAACCTCACGCTTATCGATCTACCGGGCATCACTAGAGTACCCGTTGGTGATCAGCCGGACGATATCGAAGAACAACTAAGAGAAATGATACTACTCTACATAACCAATCCAAACTGTATTATATTAGCCGTACATGCTGCCAATACGGATCTTGCTACATCGGAGTCTTTAAAACTCGCAAAAGAGGTCGACCCGTCCGGCGATCGGAGCGTCGTGGTGTGTACAAAGCTTGATTTGATGGATGCTGGGACTGATGCCCACGATATATTAACTGGTAGAGTGATTCCAGTTAAACTAGGGATCATTGGTGTCGTTAATAGATCGCAGCAGGATATTCTTGATAATAAGGGGATTGAGGATGCTTTACTAGACGAACAGACATTCTTCAGACGTAACTATCCCTCGATTGCCCTGAGGAACGGTACCCAGTTCCTCACGAAAACCCTCAACAAGCTACTAATGACCCACATTCGGAATTGCCTGCCTACGCTGCGACAAGATATTAGCAAGAAGCTATCGATCTATGAATCACAGATAGTTGAGTTAGGCGAGCCTGTGGATAACAAAGGCCCGGCACTGCTTCAATCTTTAACAAGATTTGCTTGCAATTATACAGAAAAGATTGACGGTACTTCCCGTGACATTGAGACCCACCAGCTCTCAGGAGGCGCTAGGATTTGCTACATTTTTCATCACACGTTCACCGAGGCACTGAAAGCCATAGAACCTCTCGAAGGTCTAAATCGTTCCGACATTTTACATGCTATTAGTAACGCAATGGGACCCCGTCCAGCTCTTTTCGTGTCTGAAATAGCTTTTGAGCTATTAGTTAAGAAACAGATTCGACTTCTATTGCCTCCGTCTCTCCAATGCGTTGAGCTAGTCTACGAAGAACTGCAGAGGATCATACAGTATTCTCTTAGTTTTGTCCGAGACTTTCAACGTTTTCCGATCCTCCGTGACAAAGTGAATCAAGTTGTGATGAGTCTGTTACGAGAGCGTCAACCCATTGCTAATCAAATGATTGAGAGCCTCATATCGATAGAGTTAGCTTATATTAATACTAATCATCCTGATTTCGTAGGAGGCACAAGAGCTGCTTATGAATCATATATGGTCATGGCACAGCCTAAACCAATCCCATACCAAAGTTTAAAGCAGGGAGATGAAAAAACCGAGGAAAAGAATCCTTCTTCGTCTTCAACTGGAGGTGGAGCAGGGGGAGGAGGATCCGGAGGAGGTGGTTGGAGGTTTTGGAGTGGAAGATCTCAAGAAGGAGGTGGTGGAGGAGGAGGAGGAGGAGGAGGAGTAGAAGGATCGCGTTCCTCAGAAAAGAAACACGATGGAGGCCTTAATGCTTTCACTGGTCCTAGTGACCCATCTACTGCTAACGATATGCAAGGCAAACAACTCTTTGACTGTGGTCTGATAGAGAAACTAATCACATCATATTTTCTGATTGTTAGGAAGAGCATTCAAGACAGCGTTCCTAAGGCCGTCATGCATTGCCTTGTTAATGATGTGAGGGATCGACTCCAAAGCAAACTTATCACAGAATTATATAAAAAGGAATCTTTTGATTTGTTAATGGAGGAATCTCCAGAGACTATTGCTAGGAGGGAAGAGGTGCAAGAAATGGTGTTTGCTTTGCAGAAGGCAAGCGAGATATTGAATGAAATTCGTGACATTCAATATGAGTCATCGATCATTGGAACAATTTAGTCATTATTTATGCAATGTAGAATAACATTTTTTTCATCGTTTATAAATAATTAATAATGTACAATTATTGATTATGCTACTATAATAATGTACAGCTACCATTAATTTTGTTATTAGAAATTATCTTTTAATGAATTTTAGTGAATAGTGATTTGCTCTTTTTTGATGAAAGCCCTGCCCACATAATCAATTTACACATTGTAGGCGTGGTCTCATAGAGAAAATTAATTGAGAACAGACTGTCCCTGCCGTTTCTTTCATTTTGAGAAGATGTCCTGGACTAAAAGTAGCTCTAAACCCTTTCATTCGTATCTATATCATTACCATTGACTCTTAGAATCAACTTTTGCGTCTTTGCCGTACACACAGCGAGCAACTGCACTCGTTCTTAACGGAGACCCCAAGGGGAAGAACTTCCTTTATTGCAATGGAAAGACCGTCTATATTAGAGACATAGACGTAAGATGCCCGCTATATTTATGAGTATCTGCCTCGCAAACATGCATTCTTATTACCAAATATGGTCATAAACCATGGCCCATGTACATCTCTTGTATTGTTTTTTTATACAGAACCCTTCAATTTGTGATACTTATACACAACATTCCACTAAAGTTAATGTCGCTCAGTACGCTCCTTCTGGCTATTACATTGCCTCCGGAGGTGAGAATGAAATAGTGATACTGATAAATGAATAAAGTACTTTTGTTTTGTTAAAGATGATCATGGTAAGTTAAGGATCTGGGATACGGTGAACGCGGAGCACATTTTGAAATACGAGTATCAGCCTTTTGCTGGGCCTATCAGAGATATAGATTGGTCTCCGGATAGCAAGAGGATAGCTATTGGTGGACAGGGACAATCAAGGTAATAAATTGTTGAGAGAGAGAGAGAGAGAGAGAGAGAGAGAGAGATGAACATTGAAACAAGGAAAGAGCCCATTACTTTTTAAAATTATTATTATAATTATGATAAGAAAGATAACAGGGATGATAAAGTAACAAGAAGAGAAAGCTGATAATTATTATTACCATCAAAGAACAACAATGGAGAAAGAGCACGACAAAATGGAGAACATGCCTGATATTATATTTTTTTTAATTATTATTACAGCTTTGGTGCTTGCATATTATGGGACAGTGGATCAACTGTTGGTGAAATCAAAGGTCACTCTAAGGCAATCAACTCTATTTCTTACAAGCCAACAAGGCCTTTCCGTATTGCTACTGCCAGTGAGGACACAACTTGCGCCTTTTTTGAAGGACCTCCATTTAAATTTAAGCACACAATGAAGGTAAGATATTAATAATAATGATAATAATAATAATAATAATAATAATGATAATAATAATAATCTTTTTACATTATTCATTTGCTTTTGACCATTCTGTCATTTACTGTATAATGATAATAATTTTAGACTCATTCACGTTTTGTTAATGCGATCCGGTTCTCACCGAATGGAGAGTTGATATGCAGTGGGGGCTCTGATTGTATTGCTGCTCTGTATGATGGTAAAACTGGAGAGCTGATGAGCAAACTAGGAGGAGACAAGGCTCATGCTGGAGGAATATATGGTGTAAGTTTAAGTTGGGTTTTCAATAGGGTTTTTCAGGTTTTTTCCAGTGGATCTTAAAGTTGCTAAAAAAATTGACAAAATATCCTGTATGCTAAAAGAAAGTTTTCATTTTTTATACAATGTATTTTTCTGAGCTGATTCCGATTGAACTTAGATTTTAATGCCACACTATAATAATTACATGTACATGTAATGTATATACATTGTACATGTAATGTATACATGTGTATTTGACCACATCTTCACAATAGGTATCATGGAGTCCGGATAGCTCACATCTCATTACTGCATCGGGCGACAAGAGCGTTAAACTATGGGATGTTGCCACTCAAACTAGCATCAGGTTATTTCACTAAGTATCAGTGCTAGTTATTATTATTATTAATATTATTATTAATATTATTATTAATATTATAGTCAGTTTAAGATTGGGAGTACTATTGAGGATCAGCAGCTTGGCTGTCTCTGGCAAGGAGATTATATCTTATCTGTCTCACTGTCTGGTGATATTAACTACCTCAATAAGAACGACCCTGAAAAACCTCTTAGGGTTTTAACAGTAAGCTCTTTTAATAATAATAATAATATTAGCAATAATTTGTGTTTTGTAGGGCCAGAATAAGAATTTAACAAGCATAGTAACATCCTACGATTCCTCAAAGCTTTACTGTGGCAGCATGGATGGCAAAATCAATATCCAATTATTATCATTATACTAAGAATTATTATTTTATTATCATTAATGTTATTATCCTTAATTCATATATCTCTCAAGTGTCTGGACAACTGATGCTGGCAACGTTAGCCTTGTTGCTGGTACAGGCCACACTAACCTGGTCTGCTCAATGGCCGCTACTCCTGACATCATACAAACACTTGGACTTGATAAAACTTCAAAGACTATACTACCTGATAAGAACGAATATACGTAAGAGCTATTCAAGATACTCTTATATTGTTCATGGTTGCTATTAGGTCTGATGTATTGTCGTTCCCTGATCGTGACCCGACTGCAATTGCTTACAGCTCAAATGACGGAGTGTTTCTGGTTACTTCGTTGAATGAGCTCTTCCTTGTTCGTGACGGCAAGAAAGTCTTCTCATTGCCAGTCACTGGTGAAGCCTTGTGTGCTTCGTTTCATCCCAATAAACCCTATGTGGCTGTTGGATATAAAGTAAGTATATATATATTTTTATATAGCAAGTTATTATTATTATTGTTATTGGTACTATTAATGTTACTGTTATTATTATTATTATGAATAGAACTCGAGAGCTATCGTGTACAGCATTGAAGGTGACAAATTGAATGAGTTTAAAGAGTTTGAGGTCAAAGGTGAAGTGAATGCTATTGGATATGATCCTTCAGGAGAGCTCCTGGCTGCTTCTGGCTCAGCCAGGCCAGTCTTTTTATATGAAACTACAAGCTATACAGTAAGTGGTACAGTTTACAATCTAATTAGCATTGTGATGCCGTCTCATTTTATTGTTCATGGAGCTTTGTTTATACTAATTGTAATACATTTACAATATGCATTAGATGATACACGTATGTACTTTGTTGTGTTTGTGTCTGTCATAATATTGTTTGTAGTTCAAAAAGGAACTGTTGAAGCAAAATGCCCGAGTGAGGTCTCTGGCCTGGTCACCTAACGGTAAGAGGATAGCAACAGGGGGAGTTGATTCGAACGTCTGTATTTATAATATTGATGCCATTGATCACATTGAAATCAAAGGTATGTTAACAATGACAAGTGATAAATAAATTTATTTGTAATTATGTAGGTGCTCACCCAATGGACGTAGTGACTGGTGTATCTTGGATTAATGATAACACTGTTGCTTCGTGTGGCAACGATGCTACCATTAGGATATGGGAGTACTCTGCTTGAAACATTCTCTGTTTCTCTTTTAAAAACTTGAGCTACTTGTATTAGTTAGCATATTCTCTTTTTATAGTGTTTTTTTGTAGTTTTGATAGTTATAGATTATGATTTTAATCAGATTAATAGTATACGGAAATATACTGAAACTTATCCGTATACTTTCCTGACTGGCAGTGACTGCACATGGCGGCTAGGTACAGGGAGAGGAGAGAAAGAGAGAGAAATCGCTCTCCTTTCTCTAGACAAAGAAGAGACTACACACCAGGGGACGGATACTACTCGTATAACGGGCTTGACTATGAAAGAGAGGCACACGATAGCTTATATGATCGTGCCAGAACGAGAGATTATGGGCATTATCCTTATCGTGAGTCTCTGGGACACCCAGTATCTAGTCCCTTTACTAGACGCTCTCTCCATTCCCCTCCAAGCAGTTCCCATCATTTCTTTCCTCGTCGTAGGTACAATGACGAGTACCACTCGATCCCTCATCCAGACTACAGGCTCCCATCCCCCCCTCCTAGGAATACACCTCTTCCAGACTATTTGGCCATTCCTCGGGATTACGTGACACATTCTCAGGAATATTTGACTCATCCGCCTCCTCGAGACTTTGTGCCTTCCCCTCCTCGTGACTTTGTGACTTCTCCTCCTCCTCCATCGTCATTATATCCTCGGGATTATTCAGCCATCCCCTCCAGCATTGCTTTTCGGCTCTCTCCTGCACCTTCTCCGCCTCTTCCTCCTCCTTCTCCACCTCTTCCTCCTCCTTCTCCGGCTCCTCTTTTTTCAGCTCCTTCCTCTCCTCCCCTTCCTCTTTTTAATCCTCCTCCACCCTCTCCTCCTCCCAGTGGTGGGTTACAGTGGCAAGGATCATCAAATGATCTATTGTATATAGATGAGCCTGGAGCTAGTGATGCTCAAGGTAGCAATATATATTACAATGGAGGAGAGAGACCGTATTCAATACCGGCTTTAGACACGTCTGATCTGTCCAATGCACTGGAAATGCTGAGGAGATCAATAAAATCAGAAGATATGAGATCTAATGATTTGAGATCAGAGGACGTTGTAAAGGATTCGGTTTTTATGCGTCTTGATAGCCACGCTCGAGCATCACCCATTAAGTCTGAAGACACTTCTACTGGTAATTATATTACTTGTTTTATATTGATTTTATAATAATTTTTGTTATTTTATAGATTATACACCAGTTCCAATGGATATCAGTACACCAGAGCCTGATCAATCAATTATTTCAGATACAGTTGATCATTACATTAAAATAGCCAAAAACACTGTTAGCAACAAGTCAGCCGTCAGCAATAATACAGTGGATCTACCTTCACTCATTCCTCCTCTCTTTGACAATGCTATGTCACATGAGGATGAACTCAATCCTCCTGATCCTCCAGCCTTCTTTGATGATATGTCACATGATGTGTCACATGATGATTTGTCCCCCAATCCTCCTCCTAATGTGTCTTTGTCACATGATGCATCACATGATCTTCCTTGTGAAGATTTGGAATTATTATTTTTGAGGTTAACAGCTATTCGCTCAATGTTATCTAAGCAAACGGATCCTAATCTAGATTATTCTAACACTGATATTGATGCAAATGTGTCTGATATTGCTGATACTAACACCGATATTGATGCAAATGCATCTGATCACAATATTGTTAGTACCACTTGTATTGATACTACTGATACTATTGCGTCTGAATATCATCAGTATGCTGATTCTAATGCTGATATTGATACTACTACTGATCATCATGCTGATATTGACACCACTGATGATTCAAAAGTTGAGTCTCACCATACTGCTGATACTAACACTGATATTGTAAATGTTCCAAGCAGTAAAGACTCACAGTTAGCAGTGAAACTCGTCAAAGATCTTGAAGTTACAAATGTTGCTGATCCTCATATTGATAGCACTGCTGATATAGTTGTTTCTGAATCTCTTTCTAACCTCGTGAACTCTAAAACAGAGGTTAAAACTGATATTGAAACAGAGGTTAACACTGATATTAAAGCAGAAGTTAGCACTGATATTGAAACAGAGGTTATTACTGATATTGAAAGAGAAGTTAACACTGATACTGAAACAAAGGTTAACACCAATATTGAAACAGAGGTTAACACTGATATTAAAGCAAAAGTCAATGCTGACACTAGCACTGACCCTGATGTTCACATTGATATAAATGTTGACCCTGACACAGTAGCTCATGATGATATTAAACCTCATGCTGACACTGATCCTGACACTCATGGAAGCACTGAAGTTGCTTGTAAGGTAGACAATGACACTAATGATGTTAATGCTACTGATGTTAATACTGAAACTCCTGGAGACAAATCCATTGATCCAGCATCCATTAATAGCACTGACAGCTCCCAACCTGTTACCTCCTCCTCTTCACCTCACACTACATCAACATCAGTATCAGTTGTTGCTATGGATAATGGATCAGTTGCTATGGATACTGGATCAGTTGCTATGGATACAGAATCAGTTGCTGTGGATACAACGTTATCTGATTCTGCAGTTAAACCTGCTGAATTAAGTTCTGTTAAGGTACGTGTGTATTCAGAATGCATTAATACTTAATCAATGAATTAGGTTGTGACAAGTTCCACTAATACTTGGAATGTCAAGGTAATTATTATTATTACTATTATTATTTTTGTTATGTGTTTTTATTTGTTATTGTTGTTAGGAATTCAAGATTATTTCACAAGACGATGAGGACATAGAGGGAGAGGGTCATGTTGAACAAGCTACGGTTCATGTAAGTTAGTATGTTAACAACCTGGAACATCTCTCTTTACATAGTTATTGACATTGTTTTTTACATATGCTTCACTCTAAAAATTGGCTCCAAATCATTCCCCTTTCCCCAATTTTCATGTACATGTATATGTATCAGGAAAAGTAATTAATAAAAATGGAGAATTCTCTCCTATTCTCTTTTGACATGAAGATACCATGTGTTCATGTAGCATGTGGTGTTTTCTCATATTTGGAGGAACTTTAAAATCCACTGACAAGAACTTGTATTAGCACTATGCAAAATCCTGTAGGAAGCCCTGGACTATATATAACTTTTGCTTTTTCTGAAAATTGGCTCTAAAATCACATCCAATTTTTATTACATTCATTCTCTTCATGATACATGTAGTTTGGTGGGAGTGATGTTACTGCAAAGTTAAAGGAGAGGCTTACTTTTTACGAGTCTCGTTGTGAAATGCTGGAAAGTAACGTGAAATCACTAGCTAGAGAATTAAAGGTACCATCATTGTTATAAAACTATTTTTATTATTTATGTAGTTGGCAGAAAAAGAATTGGAAAAGTGTCGAAAAGAGGAAACTCACATCAGAAATGAAGTAGCTACTTATAGAGTATGTATTATTTTCATTTAATTTTTTAATAGTTGAAATCTCTCGGTCGGATTTCAATTGATTCAAATCATGTGATGCAATCAGCGGAATCAACCAATGGCAATGACCACAAAAACAAAAGGAAGAGAGTACATGTAGATGGAAAGAAGATTACCAAGCAACCGACTCTTTCAAATAGAACGTCTAAAAAAATTAAGACGTCTCAATCTGCTCCGCCGAAACCCGACCAGCCTCCAACAAAGCCACACCTGCCAAACTTGAGGCCACGCCCACGTCGTTTGAGTCCACATCTGCCCGATTTCCCGCTATCGTCCCAAACAATAGAGTTGTTATTTGGATCAACTAAAGTCAATACAAATTGCTTAAAGGCAAGGACAGCAATTTAACTTTATTATTATTATTATATATTTTCTTTATACAGAGTTGGAAGCCATCCCTTCCTCTCCTTCACTCTACTCTATTGATAATGAATCCTGTCTCAATAGCCACTGGTCAACCATTAAACCTACTCTCCCTTCCAAAGATCAATTCATCTGTCCTCTTCTCTCTCCCTCCTTCTTTCTCTCCCAATAACGCCGATATAGCTAGCAATACTCTTTCCCTATCTCCAGCCACTGGTCCTTATCAGTCTCCATTATTATTATTCAAGTCCTATCGGGTTAATCCTCTCTATCGGACACTATTCAAGCATTCCCTGACCAGCCCGACTCATTCCAATGCCATTAATCCTCATCAGCCTTTGTGTCGCTTCCAATACAAAGGGAAGTGTAACAATAAGGATTGCAAGGGGCAGCACTGGGACTCTATCCAGTTATCCGAGGACGAGATATCTCTTCATCTTTTGTCTCAGTATCCGAGTATTTCAAAGCCCGATCCAACCCTGCGTGATGCTATGACGGCGTCGGAGTGGTTGCTGTTGACAACGCATACGATTCACCAGCAGTCGTCCAGTGTCTTGTCGCCAGTCACAACGTCGGCCGAGAAGAAGACTCATTCTCGTGATCTCAAACCCGTACCAGTAGAGCATAGTTATCAGTATCAAGATGCGACTAAGAAGTATTTAAATGAAAATGATTCATTATCACTTAGTGATGTTAATAGGAAAAGTGGTCGATATTTTATGTCAGAAGGAACAGATGCAAAAGATGATGTGTTAAGTAAAGTAAAGCAGTTTAGTTTTATTGGTAATATAAGAGAAGCTGAGGATTTACTCAAGAAAAGTGTCGAAAGTGACCCAAACAATGAAGTAAGTAATGATAGTAATGGTTTAGTCATCGATAATTACAGGATTTTTGGTTTGAATATATTAAAATCAATCCTGATATTTATCAAGTCGCTTTCGAAAAGTGCCCATCAATTAAAATTTTGAAACAAGTAAGTAGTAGCATTTGGATGTGGTTTGATATTTTGCTTATTAGGGGATAAAGGAGAGTAGGTCGGTCCCTGATAAAAAGATGTGTATTATTAAATGTATTCAAATAATTGAACGCCAGCAGCTGGTTAGTATTATACATGCACCTGTTGTCCTGTCACATCCCTCTCTTTACCAAACAGTCAGTAGATGCTGTATCTGTTTCACACTTTATGTTGGAACTAGTGTTAAGCTATGTTAGTATTGATCTCTTAACGCATGATATTGAATCCGGATTAACAGTGTTAAAGGTAATAGCCACTGTCCTATTATTACTATTATTATTATTATTGTTGTTGTGTTGTTAGAATGTTCTAGAAGATAAAGGTATTGATTCGTGCAGTAGTTTGATGGGTTTTATGACTAATGAAGACAAAGTCTTTCTTTGTCTTACCTACTTGCACCTTTTGGTCAATCCCTCCGCCCCTCTTCCGGGTTGTCATGGCAACATGATTCCTGTCACCATAGTTACAAAGGTGAGAGAATTTGAAAGATTATAAACTGTATTGGAATTTTCGGTAGGAGCCGTTTTTTATAAAATGGACAAAAGAAGGTGACGGGATTATTAGCAAATTTATGGAAGTGTTTATCAGTAAGTGTATGTTGACCACACCTACAAGACCACACCCATTTGATTACAGGTATACTCAATGTGCGGATTTTTAAGGACGTGATGATGCCAGATTCAATCAGATATTTGTACCCGATTTATATTAATTTATTCATATTTGAGGTTCAATTAATTAGTAATAATTATCAATTACTGTTTTTCAGGTTGTTCAAGGCAGAGGTGTCAATGCTATGAATAGCATTAACAGATTACTTAATAATATCAATCCCAACGTAGTCCAGCTGGTTTTGCTGAGACACTCTTTAACGTCCTTTAAACCAAAAGCACCTGCAGAAATAGTCAAATCTGAGAAACAGCTGCATCCACTTTTATATTATGCAACTGCTCTCTACTGTATTGAGAAAGTATGTTCTTATTATAATTATATTATTCTTTTTGGTTTTTATAGGCTAATGATGCTATTGCCAAAGACATATTGGAAAAGGCTGTGATTAATTGTTTTGATATGAAGACAGCAGAAGTGGAACCACTTACGTTATATCAGTGGGTCTAATTAATTAGGTGGGTGATTTGTGTAACAATGATTTACAATTTTAGGAAACTACTTGGTTTGTCGTATTGTTATGAGTCTCCTTTACTTATAAGTGGAAATGATGTACAAAATGATTTAGTGTATTGGTGGCTGTGTTACTGGTGAGTTATTAATAGTTACTCCATTGTCACAAAATCTGTCACAAGCAAAAAACATATATTAGTTCCATTGTCACAAAATCTGTCACAAGCAAAATCCATTTTGTTCCATTGTCAAAAAAATTTTCATGTTATTGTTGATAGCACATTTCATCATTAGCTCATAATTTTACTGTCTCTTTTTAGTTTATATAAGAGAGTTGTTGACATTGAAACTGTAGAGGAGACTTATGAGGTATCAGTTAATTCTGTGTCAACACAGAGGGATGGCTATGAGCAGCTGTGGTTTGACTACATTGCTGTGTTGATTATTAAAATTAATAACTCCAACCAATCGATAGAAGTACATTAAATATTTAATTTCTAACCTAAACCTCTCTCTTTTTCTCTATCTAGACATTGTGTAATGTCATTAAAAGATGTCTTTTGGTACTTCCACAAAAATCTCATACAAACGTGAGTAAATCATTGCAACAATTATATTTAAAGGGTTGTTCTAGGTAATGAGGTTGTTAGATTCTTTATTAGGTAGTTCTAATGTTATTGTTAATATATTGTATGTATTATTGTCATCATTGCCCAACAATCTATCACTAATATCAATGTAAGTACCATCACTCTTAGACTTAGATTCTCTTTCCCTCCTCCTCCTCTCTCTCTTTCTCAATGCAATATATATGTTGTCAATGTTGTGTATTATTAATGCTGAAGCTTTGCCACTAATCATTATTTTTAAGGTATCTGAATTATTCTCTAAAATATAATGTTATCAATGAGAATGTGATCGAGTCATTCTATTACAGTCTACCTTCTTCACGCTATAATTTGTAAGTCTTTGATGTAAAGCATCTCAAAAGTATTACTGCTACTGCAGGTTAATACCAGTTGAAGTTTCCTTAGGACATTACAGAGAAGTATTAGTATTATCACCTACCATTTATTATCATTATTGTTGTTTTTTTAGGCAAGGCTGCTTTTTCAAGAATTAGTAAAAGATCGACCATTTGATTATGACATGTGGAATGAAGTGAATTTGAGAGAGGGAGAATGGTTTAAGAGGGAGGGTTATTTTTATAGTTTTTATTGTTTGAGCTGGCTGGCTTGGTTCATGGTTACTCCAATGAAGAATTGGTCTTATCACTGCTTAAGCTAGCAAAGGAATCCAATATTGATCTAAAGAATATTAATTGTTTAAGGAAGGAGTCCAGCTAGGTAAACCAGAACAGCAAGGTAATGTTGTTTTTATTGTCATTGCGTTACATTTTAATCATTATCATTAATCACACCGTTGTTGTTATTTTTGTAAAATTTTATTTAAGAAATATTATTGATTGTGAAAAAGATCAACACCATTTTAATCAACTAGTGTAGTAATGGATAAATATATATATAACATAGTATATTCATGATGAAAACTAGAGAACAGTTTGCTTGGTTAGATTGGAGTAAAGACAAGCTTTGCAGCAGCAGTGAAGGTGTGGCTGATTAGTGATTACTGATCACGCCTTCTTTTTAAATGAGAACGATCATGAATGTCCTGTGGTTGCTGATTCTTTTTCTGCTACATGTATCTGCTGTCTTGTCAGAAGAAGAGCTACAATTTGTATCTGTGGTTAGTATACAGGTTTTGTTTTAGTATATGGTGGCAATATAACCAGGTTATACGTCATGGAGCTCGCTCACCGGTCGAATCCTATCCGGCGGACAGGTATCAAGAAGATTTTTGGCCTCAAGGGTTCGGACAGCTTTCGATTGTAAGCAATAACTGTTAAGAATAACATTATGTAAATTTTGTGTTATTTTAGAAAGGCATGAGGGAAGAGTATCATTTAGGTACAGTGTTCAAGTCGAGGTACTTGGATACAGGATTCATGGACTCTGGATACAATAGATCACAAGTACCAGCATTTATTCAGTGTATTACAGTGCTAATAATGTCGTTCATAATTATAATTTTAGATATATGTACGCAGCACTGATTATGATCGAACGCTTATGAGTGCACAGTGTGTTCTTGCAGGAATGTATCCACCAGGGGAAAATCAAGTGAGTGCCTTTAGATAAGTGACATAAACAAATGACAATTAGCACTTTAAAATGTTTACAAGTGCTAACTGAGTACTACCAAGAGTATACCATAGATATTATCAAGAGTTATGTACTCTTGGTAGTTGGTAACTGTAAGAATTGATGAGTAACACCAATATCATACATTAGATGTTTGATCCTGATCTGGAATGGCAACCTATACCAGTTCATACTACTCCACAAAAATATGACAGTGTGAGTACACAAACAGTATTATTATTATTGTTGTTATTATTATTATCATTACTTTTTGTTGGCATTGTTAATTTGTTATGTCTTTTAGCTATTGAATGTGGCAAGTTGTCCCGTCTATGACAAATTGATGGATAAAGACAACAATACTTATAAACAAATACAAGATGCCAATCAGGTATAAGTATTGGATATAGATTAAAATTCTTGATCTCTTTTGCCTACAAAGGAACTCTTTGATAATCTTACAGAATGGACTGGAGAGGACATAAATGTTATTACAGTTGGGCTTCTGAAGGATGCTCTTTTTGTTGAGGTAATGAATGATGCCAAAGGAGGATTCAAGTTATCATAATTTTGTTTGCTATATCAGTATCATGATAACAATTTGACAATGCCCGAGTGGTTTTCACCACAGCTACTAACAAAACTTGAGTCAATTGATGACTCACTGTTGAGGCTGATGTTCAGCACAAAATGCAAGAGAAAGCTAACAGGAGGTTAGTATAATATGATGAAGGATGCTGTGGAATCATTTGTTATAGGAGTATGGACGAATCGAGTGTTGAAGGATATGCAGAATAAAGCCACTGGAGTCATGCCAGACATGAAAATGGTGCTCTATTCAGCAGTATGCTTTTTTGCTTCAAAATTAAACATCACTTCTGTTTCTTTTCATTATATAGCATGATACCACAGTAGCTACTATGTTAAGTGTCTTTGATATGTTTGATGGTAAACAGCCTCCATATTCTGCTGCCTTTGCTGTTGAGCTTTATTCCAGTGGAAGCAGTAAAAAGTAATGCTATAGCCAAGTTTGAGTTATTGTTTTTACTATTTGCTGCAGTGACTTTTTTGTGAGGTTTTATTATCACAACGAAACAGATAGTAATGATTTTGTTGAATTAACTCATCCAAACTGCAGCAAAGATTGTCCATTGGAAAAACTGAAACAGTAAAGTCCTAAGTCACAGTTTAGTACCAATAGGTTTTTTTATAGAATCATGGCCCCTTACCGTCTAACTGAAAAAGAATGGTCTTCATCTTGCAGTACAACTACAGCTCCAACTTCTTCTCCAACTTTAGCTCCTTCAAATGATATTGGTTAGATGATAAATAATCATTTTTGTTGTTAATGCAATTTTTTATATAGAAATGTGGTTGGTTATAGCTCTCTGTATCACCTCTGGCATACTAATTCTCCTCATACTTATATTGCTTGCTTTTATGACAAAGGTATGTTGCTGCGGAAGAAAGAAAAGAATGTATGTTGCACTTAACAATCAAGACACTGAAGCTACATAAAATAAATAATTTATTATTATTGTAAATATTATTTTCAGGTTGATTAAAATTGTTATCCTTTTTCCTTGATGTTATTGTCATTGCTCAGTTTCCCCTTATAATCACTATGTTGTTTGACTTTCAGATAGAAACTTGCTCCATTATAGCATACAATGAGAACTATAAAAGCCATTATGATCGTTCCAAACTCCATCCTAACATCAGATAATAATACAATAAATACAACACTATACTTACCAATGGTAGGAGAGAAAAGCAGATAATAAGCCCACCCATGTATAAACAGTGAGCCATGCAAAGTAAAAGATTTTTAAATATCTTTTTCCACAAATGCTGAACAAATGGTACAGAAAGCCTTTCTTAGTGCTCTCTGTCATCCAAGTAACACTAGTAGCATAGCTCCTCTTCCTTACTCTCTCTTTCCTCCACACTTGCACCTGTGATAGAGAGATTGCAAAATTAAGTTATCCTACAGTATGCATGTATGTACTCACCACGAGAATGTAGAGTAGCATCCACACTAAATAAAAGACAAGCGGACCTGTTACAAGTTCCCTCAATCCAATGTGATTGCAGCCATTTGGACCTGGCTCTGTTGGCTGAGCACAGAGTGAGAACTCCTGCTTAACACTTGAATACCTGCAAACGTGAGAAATGATTAACATGATTATTTATAATGAAAATTCTGCATATACCATCTTGTACCCCAAGTGGTTAAGGCAGGTGATAAGTGTATGAATACTGATGTCATTCTATCAAGAGAGTGAGGTACTATTGAGTTCCTCCATATAACAGTCGCAAATAGCAAAGGACCATGAGAGAACACAAACACTGTTGGGAAGAGCCAATTGGGTTGCCAGGGAGACCAAAAATAAATGAGGAGCAAGGTGTTAGTGTAGTAGCAAAAGTCAAGAAGGAAGTAATGATGTCTTTTCTGTTTGTAATGAAACCAGCGGATGGGCATCAAAACGAGGTATTTCTGCAGTAATTATGCAATAATTGTCATTTGAAAATTTCGATTTTCATTGCTGGCTTACCAGTGTATGCCAATAGTAGAAGTACTGGGGCAAATATCCAGCAATGAAAGCATCTACCAGAGCTCCACCTAAGAGGAGTGTAAAGGTCAGCTTATCAGCTGTGACGTTGCCGAGTTTTCTGATTTTAGCAATCTCCTCAAGGTCATCATCTTGGAGCTCAAAATTCATTAGAACGTCGCCTTTTTGCACTTCAATAAAAATTATAGAGCTATCATAATTACAACTCTGTGTTTACTTTACTTTTATTTGTGCCAATAACACCCATTTTTGACTTCCTCTTTGTCTAAAGGACTAGCAAGCCATTTCTTGTTCTTTAGAGATCACACACAGTTGCACCACGCCATGTACACGTTCTAAAGACATCACGTTCGTTCCACAAGACAGAGAAGGACTAGATTTAGTTAATCAAGTGAGTGGGCGTTCAATTGTGAGCCCACCCAAACATTGCAACTTCAAATTGTGCTAAAATGACTACACTTTCGATTTAAAACTGAGTCCCAATCAAATACAAATGAGAAATTGAAAAGACAATATTAGTATAACCTAATATGCATACATACACACATGTGTATGGTATGTTATTTCTTCTTCTAGTCATTGTTCTTGTTCATTTTCAGTTCGTAGTACTTGTGTCCAATGACATCAATGTAAAAACTAGCTCCGTTATAGCAAGCAATGACCATGGTCACAGACATGAGAATCACACCATATTCCATCCTAAACCACACCTGTTAGACACACTCGCCATAGAACTACACTTACCAGTGATAAGAGACAAAAGCCGATGATATGCCTAAGCAAGTATAAACGGTCTGCCAGGAGAAGTAGATGTACTTTAAGTACTTTTCCCCACATATGCTGAAAAGTTTGTATAAAAAACCTTTTTTGACTCTCTCAGTCATCCAGCCAACGCTGGTCACATAGCTCCTCTCTCTCACCCTCTTCTTCTTCCAGACTAATACCTATGAAGAATATATGATATGGTACAGTTTTCAGAAATTGGCTCATTTCTTTAAATGGCCGTAACTTGAAAAATTTAAGTTGGAATCAACTCAAACTTGCTACGCAGCATAAGGACATCAATGTGTATCAAAAAATATAATAAAAACTGGGGGTGATTTTGGAGCCATTTTTTGGAAAAAACCATGGGCTATAGCCTTGAGTACTTTTCAAAAATTGGCCTATTTTTTAAAATGGCCGTAACTTGAAAAATTGAAGTCGGAATCAGCTCAAACTTGCTACATAGCATAAATACATCAATATGTATCAGAAAATATAATAAAAATTGGGGGGTGATTTTGGAGCCATTTTTGTAAAAAACCATGGGCTATAGCCTTGGGTATTTTTCAAAAATTGGCTCATTTTTTAAAATGGCCGTAACTTGAAAAATTGAAGTCAGAAACAGCTCAAACTTTCTACACAGCATAAGGACATTAATATGTATCAGGAAATGTAATAAAAATTGGGGGTGATTTTGGAGCCATTTTTTGAAAAAAATCATGGGCTATAGCCTTGGGTATTTTTCAATTTTTTGGCAATTTCTTAAAACGACCATCGCTTCAAAAATTGAAGTCGGAATCAGTCTATATTCCATTGTCCATAGTTTATAGTCCATAGTCCATAGTCTATTTTCCATTGTCAATTGACCATAGTCCATATTCCATAGTCCATTATCCATTGTCTACAGTCCATATTCCATAGTCTAATGTCCATTGTCCATGGTCCATAGTCCATTGTCCATAGTCCATAGTCCATAGTCTATTGTCTATTGTCGATTGACCATAGTCCATATTCCATAGTCCATTGTCCATTGTCCATTGTCTACAGTCCATATTCCATAGTCTATTGTCCATAGTTCATGGTCCGTAGTCTGTGATAGTCCAATGTCCAATGTCCGTAGTCCATTGTCCATTGTCCATAATCCACAGTCCATTGTCCATTATCCATTGACTATAGTCCATAGTCCATTATCAATAGACTATAGTCCGTGGTCCATAGACCATTGTCCATAGTTGATATTCCATAGTCCATAGTTCATATTCCATAGTCCAATGTCCATAGTCCATTGTCCATAGTCTATAGTCCATGGTCCATAGTCCATGGTCCATAGTCCATGGTCTGTAGTCCATTGTCCATTGTCCATAGTCCATTGTCCATAGTCCATGGTCCGTAGTCCATTGTCCATAGTCCATAGTCCATAGTCCATAGTCATATTTCATGGTCCATTGTACATAGTCCAATGTCAATTGTCCATTGACAATAGGGAATATTTTCAAATAAATTTATATTTAATGATTTTTTATTCATTTTCAACAGTGTGGGATATTTTTGGATTATTTTCCCTTTTACTTTTGCAATTTTATCTGACTTTTGTGGGAATATTTTTGGACTATTTTTATTTTATTTTTGTAATTTTTTCTAATTTTTTCGAGAGCGTGGGAATATTTTTGGTTTATTTTTTTGAATTTTTTTCTGATTTTTTTGAGAGCGTGGCAGTATTTTCCGAATTTTTTTTTGGAATTTTTTCTAATTTTTTCCGAGAGCGTAGAAATATTTTCGGATTTTTTTTAGATTTTTTTCTAAAGAGCGTGGGAATTTTTTTGGATTTTTTTTTATTTTTAGAATTTTTTCCAATGGGTGGGAATATTTTCAGATTATTTTTATTTTTGGAATTTTTTCTGATTTTTTCCAGGAGCTTGGGAATATTTTTGGATTTTTTATTTTTGGAATTTTTTCTGATTTTTTCAAGAGTGTGGGAATATTTTTGGATTTTTTTGTTTTTGAAATTTATTATGATTTTTTTTAAAGCGTGGCAATATTTTTCTAATTTTTTAAAAATTTTTCAAATTTTTTCTGATTTTTTCTAAAAGTGTAGAAGTATTTTCAGATTTTTTATGGAATTGTTTCTGATTTTTTTCCGAGAGGGTGGCAATATTTTCTAATTTGTTTTGTTTTAAGTTTTGGAATTTTTTCTGATATTTTTAGAAAGCGTGGGAATATTTTTGGATTATTTTATTCTTATTATTGGAATTTTATCTGATTTTTTCCGAGAGCGTGGGAATATTTTCAGATTTTTTCTAGAATATTTTCGGATTTTTTTTCAATTTTTAGAATTATTTCTAATTTTTTTCCAAGAGCATAGGAATATTTTTGGATCATTTTATTTTTCAATTTTTTTCTGATTTTTTCCGAGAGCGTTGGAATACTTTCGGAATTCTTTTTTTAATTTCTGGAATTTTTTCTAATTTTTTCTGAGAGCGTGGGAATATTTTCGGATTTTTTTATTTTTATTTTTGGAATTTAAAAAAATTTTTTGGAGAGCGTGAGAATATTTTTGGTTTTTTCTTAATTTTTAGAATTTTTTCTGATTTTTTTGAGAGTGTGGGAATATTTTTGAATTATTTTATTTTTATTTTTGGAATTTTTTTATTTTTGGAATTTCTCTTGGAAAAATTTCGGGTGATTTCAGAGCCATTTTTTGGAAAAAAACTATGGACTATATAGCCTGGAGTATTTTTCAGATTTTTGACATTTTCTTAAAATGGCCATAACTTGAAAAATTGAAGTTGGAATTAGCTCAAACTTTCTACACAGCATAAGGGCATCAATACATATCAGAAAATGTAATAAAAATTTGGGGTAATTTCAGAGCCATTTTTTGGAAAAAACCATGGGCTATAGCCTTGGGTATTTTTCAAAATTTGGCCTATTTTTTTAAATGGCCATAACTTGAAAAATTGAAGTCGGAATCAGCTCAAACTTGCTACATAGCATAAGGACATCAATATGTATCAGAAAATATAATTAAAATTGGGGTGATTTTGGAGCCATTTTTTGGAAAAAACCATGGGCTATAGCCTTGGGTATTTTTCAAAATTTGGCCTATTTTTGAAAATGGCCATAACTTGAAAAATTGAAGTTGGAATCAGTTCAAACTTTCTACACAGCATAAGGGCATCAATACATATCAGAAAATGTAATAAAAATTTGGGGTAATTTCGGAGCCATTTTTTGGAAAAAACCATGGGCTATATATAGCCTTGGGTATTTTTCAAAATTTGGCCTATTTTTGAAAATGGCCATAACTTGAAAAATTGAAGTTGGAATCAGTTCAAACTTTCTACACAGCATAAGGGCATCAATACGTATCAGAAAATGTAATAAAAATTTGGGGTGATTTCGGAGCCATTTTTTGGAAAAAACCATGGGCTATACAAGCTAGCTATAGCCTTGGGTATTTTTCAGATTTTTTACATTTCCTTAAAATGGCCATAACTTGAAAAGTTGAAGTCGGAATCAGCTCAAACTTTCTACACAGCATAAAGGCATCAATATGTATCAGAAAATGTAATAAAAATTGGGGGTGATTTCGGAGCCATTTTTTGGAAAAAAAACCATGGGCTATAGCCTTGGGTATTTTTCAAAAATTGGCCTATTTTTTTAAATGGCCATAACTTGAAAAATTGAAGTTGGAATCAGCTCAAACTTTCTACACAGCATAAGAGCATCAATATGTATCAGAAAATATAATAAAAATTGGGTGTGATTTCGGAGCCATTTTTTGGAAAAAACCATGGGCTATAGCCTTGGAAATTGGCCTAATTTTTAAAGTGGCTACAGCTTTAAAAAGTTTTAGTCAAAATCAGCTCAAACTTCCTGCATTGTATAATACTTTTTAAACTTACCACAAAAACATACAACAACATCCAAACCAAGTATACCCCTAGCGGACAGACTATCAGCTCCACCCATCCAACATCATCACATCCCCTTGGACCAGGAGCTGACGGCTTTGAACAGAGCACGAGCCCTTGCTCTGGAGTTGAAAACCTTCAAAAAGGTATGAGTAATGATTATACGATAGACAAATAACGTTTACCATCTTACTCCCCAAGTAGCCAATGGAGGTGAAATGTGAATGAAGAGAGAAGTCATTTTATCAAGTGAATGAGGTACTACAGAGTTTCGCCAGAGGGGAATGGCAAAGAGGAGTGGGCCATGGGAGAGAACAAATATGGCTGGGAACAACCAGTTGGGCTTCCACGGGGACCAGAAGTACACAAAGAGGAGCAAGTTGACAAAGTAGCAAAAATCAAAAAGAAAGTAATGCCATCTTTTTCGCTTGTATATGAGCCATCTTATAAGAATAAGAGCAACTGATTTCTATATAAAAGGATAATATTATTATCATCACTGGCACATGTGTATCTATTTTGTGTTCAGGGACCACCACTGGGAAAACAACGAGTGATAAACAGTGCAAAATGCTTTCAAAATCCACTGTACTATAAGCAGATTTGCATGGCGGGGCGAGACTTTGCACTGCATGCAGTTTCACTTCTTACCACTGAATGCCAATAGTAAAAATACTGAGGGACATAGCCAGCAAGGAAGGCAGTGAGCATGACGTTGCTTAGGAATACGGTGAAAGTAAGTTTGTCAGCTGTAGAGTCACTCAGTTTCCTGATGCTCACTATGTCGTTAAAGTCTTCGTCTAAAAGCTCAATGGACTCAAAATCAAGGAGATCATCCAAAGCACCAAATTCATCTTTAGAACCTATAACAATATCATCAATAAACAACTAAACAAGAGAGCATTCTGGACTCGCTTTTTTCCTGCTTATCTTCACCAGTCGCCATATTGTTAGTAGTTAAAGAGCCATGCCCACAAGCCACAACAATAATCATTCTTCTGTATAAAGAGTACTCACATTATTTTTATTGTCATAATACATTTTTAAGATTTAAAGATGTTAATAAACATTAGTAGCTAATATGATATAAAAGGTACACTGTAGTAACATTATAATGAAATGACCATGTCTCCCAATAATCAATGGATCCATCACTTTAGTCTAGAAGTAGGTCTCAAATTAGTTCCCGCCCTCACTTGAAAGCCACTAGGTCTCTATAAAAATAAACAAAAAGTACACGTACATGTACATAGACACGAGTAGAGGACATTATATAAACATACTGGAGGAGGTGTATCAACAACATCTAGTGATGCAGACACTTTAGCTGCCCCTCTTTTAGATTTACTCCTACCTCCTATAGAGAAGAGAATAATGCATATTAAAAGTTTTTTATAGATGTATGTGTATATAAATGAACCTTTTAAAAAATCAACAATAGTTTTGACAGGAGTGGTAGGCGTTGGTGCAGCAGCTAAAGGTGTATTCTCATTTGAATCTAAGTCAGATACAAAGTCCGATGATATAACTTTAGTCTTTCTTGTCCTGGATTAGTATGACATTGTTACTTTATTATTATTATTATTATTATTATTATTATTATTATTATTATTATTACCTTAGATTGTAACGTTGAGAGCTAGCATCAGGAGTAGACTCTGCAGTTGTCTATTAAAATAAATGAATTGAATATAAAGGACTGTGCTATTAACTTTATTAACTGGAAACTGTCTAGCATTATCATACAATATGTGAATGATAGTGTTTGATTGTGAGTCATTCAAGCTTCAATTACTTTCTGCTTCTCTTTGGCCTTCTTTTCTTTTGGCTTCTTTTTCATGGATTTCGATGGCTTTTTCCTTTGTATATCTTTCATATTAAACCGAATTGGAGTCTTTTCAAAATCATCATCATCATCAAAAGAATCCTCAAGTTGGGAGCTCCTTTCTAGCAGTTTGAGATGTCTGCCAGTTTCATTAAGGTCCATCTCTTTAAGAGTCTTTTAAAAAAGAGAAATGATAAAATCAGTGACAGAAAAATGAAAATAGCAGACCTCATCTTGATTCAGCACAAGAGAGGGTTCACTTTTGCTAATGTGAATAGAATCATATAATGGCTCTGCATGTACATCCCTACTATCCTGTATACATGAAATATGAAAATTAATAAAGCAACAAGAATACATGTTGTATACTCACGCATGCAGATTGAACATCATCATCATCATCTTCTTCAGGTGGAAGATCATATATATTCTCAGTACTACTGCATGTACTATATGACACTGAATCATTCTTATTCAATAATAATAATAATGATGTACCTGTAAGGATCCAGTCTAACTCTCTGGTCCGCTAATAGGCTCTTTACTTGGTCCAATTCTTTCATTTTTGAAGCAGAGAGCTCTTCCTTAACTTGTTTCAAAGATTCACCCAGTTCTGCCAATTCTTTATCTTTCTCTTCCAAGCTCTTGCTGGACTCCAGTAGCTTCTTCTTTGATTCTTCTTGTACACGAGCAAAATCAGCTCTCAATTCCTTAAGGAGACAATCTTTCTTGATTGATTTCTCTATCTCACTGTCAAGGGAAGCCTTTAGTTCAGTAATAAACTGTTCCTTCTCCTCCAAGCTGGCTTGAGATTTCTTTAATAAACACTCCCTCTCCTCCTCAGCTTCCTTCTTATAAAGACATAGTGCATCTTGAGATTTCTTTAGCTCAGTTTGTATACCCTCCATTTGCTCTTTATGGAGACTGGATAGAACCTTTGAGTCAGCAACAAGATTTTCTTTCTCTGCCAGAGCAACACACAACTCCTCAGCTTTAGCAACCAGCATATTTTTCACTTCTTTTAAGTCTCTTTGAAACTCATCTAGTTCATTAGCCTGAGATTCTTTAAGACTAACGAGCTCTTCTTGTGCCTTTGTCAAGCTTTCCTTAAGCTCAGTCACAGCATGTGAATTAGTACTGGATTCTTTTGAGAGGTCTTTTTTCTCTCTCTCCATTAGTGTCAGCTTATTCTGCAGTTCCACTAACATTTGATCTTTACTTTTGAGTTCATTATGCCTCAAGCTCTGTAAGAGGTCATCTTTCCCAGAAACCTCTTTCATGGCCCCTTCCAAACTTGCCTTTAGTTTTTCTATCATTTTATCTTTCTCTGTGAGGGCATCATCTTTATTATCAAGTTCTTTCTCAAGGGCTGCTAATCTACTGTTCATATTATCAAGAACTTGTTGCTTATTATCAGAATTTCTTTCTTTCTCTGTTGCTTCAAGAGCCTGTTCTTCCATTATTTGTAGTTTTGCACGTGTCTCTTCTAAAAGACGATCCTTCTCCTTGATTTCTTCTCTGAGCTTCCTACATTCACTGTTCAAAACTTGCTCCCTCTCTCCAAATTCTACTTGAGCCTTTGTCAAACTTTCCTCAAGTTCAAAAATGTCTTGCTACAGCAAAGAAATAATTTAATTATTATAAGGCGTATTTTTCTTACTTCGTGTTTTTCTTTCAATCCAATACTTTTTGTACTCATTTCCATCATTTTCTCATGGGCTCTTGTCATATTAGTTTGATAAGTAAGTGAAGCATCCTTCAAAACTTCAGCATCTTTAACAAAAAACAAAACAAACAAAATCACACTAACCAACAATGCTATAACTAAACAACAATGCTATAACTAAACAACAATGCTATAACTCAAATCCTGTACATATACATGTACTTATAGTACAAAGAATGAAATAAGTGAATGTCTGCTGTACTAGCTGCGTATTGCATACTTTTAGAACGCTCCATTTCCAGCTCCTCCTCTAAGTTCTTATACTCTTGTTCCAAGAAAGAGATCTTATCCAATAATTCTTTTTGCCTGTCACCTCCATCGTCATCTACACGAGCTCGCTTTCTAAAAAAAGAAAAATATTTAAAACAATCCATTTTATTTGATTGACTACACCCACACACAAATTTAAAGTACCAAAATGTTAATATATAATAACCTTTTTGTCGAATAAAGTTTCTTCATCGACTTTTGCTGCACGGCCAGCCTCTTCTCAATCTCTTCCTCCATCATTTCTTCACGTTCATCAATCTCACGACTAAAAATAAAGGAGGATAATGAAAAAAAACCCGACCAAATTAAAAGCATGTATAAATTATTAAAGGCCTTATACTTGTATTTTTCCTCTATTTCGACTATCTGCTCGTTATATTCCTGTGCTACTTGCTGCCTTATGGTGTAATGCTGCTCCCATAACTGGAGCTTTAACTGGGCCACTTCCTTTCCCATTGTAGCCAATGACTCTTTCAATCTAACCTAAAGATATACCCAAAAGATTAAATGTATAATGCATTGTATTGCAATCAAGTACACTTACAATTTCCTCATCATCTCTTATGTATTCTATTACCGGTGGAGGAGGCTCTTCTTGTATCTGAGGTAAAACTGGTTTAGAAACTGGTACAACCTGTACCAATCACCAGTTAATTAATATAATTGTAATATCAACGCATGCATTTATTACTTTACTGGCCAGTGCTGAGAACTTGAGTACATGAAATGTTTCATCAAAGACTGCAGGATCATCGCTAACATTGACACACATTACAATCCGTCCTTGTCTTGCTCCTCTCTCTTTACCGACAAAATACGTCTGGAGGAGTTGGGTTAGCTTGGAGTTACGAAACGGTGGCAATATCTTTGGATCAAACCTCCTAACAAGATAAGAAGATGATAGACCCCCCTCTCTCTCCCCCTCTTCCTCTTACTGCCTCCCAGTGTGTCTCATTGCTTCAATGCACTGACCCAAAACGAGTAGAGAATTGTTAATGGAGCCGGCTTCTTTTATCCTAATGCCCGAAGCACCTGTCTTCTTGCTCCTCTCGCTACCAGCAAGATCCACTACTGATATACTGAAAGAAGAGAAAAAAATCAAAGTACATACATATATTGCAATAATTTACCGATTCACTCCAGCTGCTTTCCTTTTTCTGTTACCCTTAACAATCCGAACCAGCTTAATTGTATAGATACTATGACTGCGGCTGCTGCTGTAGTTAAGTCTAGTGGCTGCATTGTGACGTCGAGACATGCCAATCCTTAAGAGCTGCAGCGCTTCTTTGGCATTGTCCACCTGAACCTCATGAAGTCCTTCAAAAAATAGAGAAAGATTGCAAAGAAGAGGAGAGAGAGAAGTGAATGGGTATACTTAACAGAAGCAATACATACATGTACATGTACATGTACCTTTATAAAATTTTGCCAATTGTCATTGGTCATATAACAAAAGTATGCATGCATCAACAAGCGAACCTTTAATGTATGGGTTTCCAATTTTATCAGCCGCCAGTCGTAAAATCGGTCTCTCGTGGAGTGTCTTCTCTCCTAGCAGGTCGTATATGAAATCCTTATAGATCTCAGCATAGGAGATGAATATGGAGAAGAACACAGACTCGTTCTGTGTGTCTACTGGTAACGTAGTGTCCTCTTGAACTTCATACTCACTCATGATACTAGCCATCATACTACAAGCTGGGGGGGAGAGAAAAGCAAATAATAATAATAATGGATACATAAATATGTTTAGAAAAATACAGAAATAATCCTTCAATAATACATGCATTGTGAAGCTATTATTTTGAATTTTTTCTTGCACTTACTATCATCAGTCATAGCAGTGACATCAGTTAGGCCAGTATTATTATCAGTTGTATTATTATTATTATCATTACTGATGTGAGATGCTTGCTCAAACAATGAACTGGCATTACTGACTTCAGCAGAAGGGGGAGGAGCGGGAGGAGGAGGATTAGCCTAATAATAATAATACTTAACTTGTTAGTGATAATTATAACAAAATAAATGTAATATTAAGCTCCTAGTGCAGCTCCTTCAATACATTTTCCCACCATGATATTATCATAAAACTCACTTGCTTCAGGAGCTCTTCTTTTATAGTTTTCTCTATTGCAGCTTCTTCCTCATTCAGGTAGGTGACATTAGAATATGCTTGAGGTTTGATTTGTACATCATCAGAGGAGGAGAGGTGAGGGCCAAGAGAGTTAAAAATAACATCAATAGTCCGTGGCAAGATACCAGGCTGCGTGGGCGAGCCTAATAGAAAATAAATGAATATCAAATAAGGTTACAAATGTACATTACAAAAATTAATTATTATTATTATTACTATTAACCTGTCATAGTGTAGGTTTTCCCAGAGTTGGTCACTCCGTATGCCAGGAGGAGGGTATTCTGTCCTTTGAAAAACTCCTCAAGTACTGGAACGACGGCCGTCTTAAAAACCTCTTTCTGCGTCGAGTCCTTCTTGAATATCATTGAAAACATGAACTGCTCTCCATTGGAAGCCTTTGCTGACCACTTGGAGTAGGAAGGAGGCACTGCTGTGCAGACACTGTCGTTTTTAATCGTTAGAAAAGATTTGGTGTTTCCCAATGGCTGGGGAGGCGGTGGTCTCACACGGAGGAATACTTCTATAGGGTGATGGGCTTTAGTGGTTCCTTGTCTGAATACAGGTGTGTCGAAGATCAGCTCTTTCTTGATGTCAGAGAATGTGTCGTCAGCTGAAATTTCATCTATAGGGCTGATAGAAGATGGGCTGAACTCTGATGACATTTCTGCTGCTGGAGAAAGAGAGGAGAAAAGAGGAGAGAAGTACAGAATTTCTTTGATTTTAGCAAAATGATAATTAATTTTGATAAAATGGCGCCAATTTCAATTTGTCAATTTGATTTGCTCACGTGATCATCGCATTTCTCTGTATACTTTCTGCATACTTTACCAGTAAACTCTTCCGCTTACTTTTAGTAAATTAAAGGTTTCTTCTCACGTGATCTTTTTCCACGAGCCACGCCCTAAATCAAAATGGCTGATGGCCAGTTACCGTCCATCGAAGCAGGAGGTATTGTCTTTCTTTTTTGTTTCTAATCTATCCAATGGCTTGCCCTACAGATCGCTCGGTTCGAAGGAGAGTGGACGAGGACATTCACCGTCACCTTATAGCTGGTTTTCATCCAATCGATCCGGTTGGTGGAGGAGGGCACAACATGAAACCACCATCCCTCGGACATGTATGTGGGGAGAGTTGTGGAGTCTACTCACACGAATCTCACTCACTCTATATCTTTCTTCTTTCCTCCCCCCTCTCTCTCTCTCTCTCTGTAGCATGGAGAAGTTCGTGTAAAGTTT